GAAGTAATACAGACATAATACAGAAGTAATACAGACATAATACAGAAGTAATACAGACATAATACAGACATAATACAGTAGTAATACAGACATAATACAGACATAATACAGACATAATACAGAAGTAATACAGACATAATACAGTAGTAATACAGACATAATACAGACATAATACAGACATAATACAGACATAATACAGATAGTGTATCCTCACAAATTATGGACAATTTTCGTTTATTATGTTAGCCAGACATTTAAACCTAAAGCCGAAAGATAAGGATCGCATGAGGTTTTCTTAGTTTTCTGAAACATTTTTTTTCTGCATTCTTAATAAACACAATGATTCCCCCTCCCCATACCACCACTTTTAACGTAAAACGTCATCCGTCCTGGGTCGTTGTGTCTAAGCCACCTTCTTGTTGTGGGCACAACCCCATGGTCAAATCTTCACAAGGGGAGGCTACCAAATTAATAGTAAACATCTAAACTCCTAGCTAGAGTTGTTCCCCGTTGGTTTCAACACTTGAAAATAATTATTTTTTTAAAAAACGTACTGTTTTAAAAATAACCTTAATTGTACTTCAATTACAAGAGGAAATTGCGATAAATCTTTAATAAAGCTTAACTTAATCCTGCTATTATAAATATCGCAGAGCGCTTTTGACGTATTTGGTTGTAACGATACGCAATTAGTTTGTGTGGGCATATAATTTATGTCTTTTTCCTCATTAACCCTATCGCACTTTGAAAATTAAAGCACCACTTCCTCTCATTCTCCACCCCCCCCCCTCCCCGATCACCTCAACTATGATAACCACTCTCTTCCCCCCTCCCCCCTCCATTGAAGAATGTGAAAACAGGCGTTGTATTGTATGGTTCTTATACCGCTTATACTCTCGAGAACTAATTTTTTTCTGATACCTCGGGGGGACGGATAATCCTGGATTAGCAGCTGTTCTGTGAAGTGGGCGACACAAAGACACATTTTACAAAGACCAGTTGGTGTCTAATTGCTGATAATTTGCGGTGCTGCACTGACATTTTTTTTAACCCACGAGAATTGCTCAATAAAATCGATGATTGGACTTTGCTATTAACTAAAAACCCGGATGTTGTCTTAAGAAATCGATTCTCAAAACAAAAATGGAACCCATTTCGTCAATGGTTAGGGTACAACGTTTAAAATTTAAAATTTAAACAAATTTTTTTTTTTTACTTTTCTAAGAATCATTTGTTTGGTGTGAGTTTGTTTTGTTTTAATCTGTTCAAGATTTTTAAATCTGGGTTTAATCCGTTGTTAGCTTATCAAGGGACATGGCAATAATCTTAATTAAAAGTTTTAATGATCTAAACAAGGTGACGTCACCGAATGAAAATTCCCCATGATTTAGAAACATATCTTGACTGACTGATCGACTGTAACTTACTAAACGACCTTGACTTACTAGCCGACCTTGATTAAATAGCCGACCTTGACTTACCTACCGACCATGACTTACTAGCCGACCTTGATTAAATAGCCGACCTTGACTTACCTACCGACCATGACTTACTAGCCGACCTTGACACCAATCTTGGTGAGATCCATTCTCCCCTTCAGATCCCTCCTAACCGCATGGAAACATGTGCCCAGAAACAAATCCACCTTTCTACTAACCTGTATACAAACATGTCCCCAGAAATAAATCCCCAGTTCTACTACACTGTATACAAACATGTGCCCAGAAACAAATCCACCTTTCTACTACCCTGTATACAAACATGTGCCGAGAAACTAATCCACGTTTCTACTGCCCTATACACCCGTATGTTCTTCAACCTCCCGTGCTAAATTGCCCTAACCCTAAACCAAACTTAACATTGAACCGTTTATCCAATCCGCCAGCTGAATTTGTCCATCAAGGCAGACAACTCAGGAGTTGTTCCTACGTCACCCAGGTCACCTCTAGGTGAACTCATTGTCACATTTACTATCAATTTTAAATTTGACTTTATAGTAATAATAATTATTTATTTTCATAATCGAGGCAATTAACAAATAAAATACAAATTTTATTCCACGATTGAATTCCCAAAAAAAAATGGGGCTGAAATTCCCCCGACAATGTGGTCACCCCGTGCCTATGATTATACACGACAATGGCTGACATGCCAATTTACCATTTTATTTGCCATAGGGGGGCGGACGGCCCCGCCTTGTCCACGCCCCCCGTTTGCCCAGGCAACTATTTCTGTCACCAGACGTTGGACCAGGGAACAGGTCCATGAGACTGGACGTTTGTCGGGGAACCTTGCTGGGGTATTGAGTGGGGAACATGTGACAAATTACACTCAATCTAAGGAGAATAGATCTAGACCGCTGGTAGCCAAATATCTGTGATTTATCACTGGCTCTATTGGTCCATCAAGAATTCCTGTTAGATTTAGGTTTCTTTGGCCATTATGGCTCAGATGGTGCTCGTTATATATATATATATATATATATATATATATATATATATATATATATATATATATATATATATATATATATATATATATATATGTATATATATATATATATGTGTATATATATATATATATATATATATATATATATATATATATATATATATATATATATATATATATATATATATATATATATATATATATATATATATATATATATATATATATATATATATATATATATATATATATAACAATCCAGACACGTGAACTATTATTGAAATCAAAGGCAAGTCGCTTATGCACAATAGTTTAAATTTTGTGAACTGTTCACCTAATGAAGAGAATAGAAACAGTAAGGCATACATACAACACACATGTATAAGTAACGTGTGTCATGTACAGTATCACAACATACATACATATTTTACAGTAGTTGTGGTATGTATTTAAATGACAAATAAAATGAGGATGTTTTTTTTAATTCAGAAAAATAATAATTACCGCCCTTATCTATATCTCTTATATAACATAAAAATGTGTTTACCTGGGGAAAGAAATACATACACAATAGAGAGCTCGATAATAGGGTTTCTCTCAATACAAAAGTGTTTAGTAGTTAACTATCGCTGATATAATCCGTTATCCAGACATTTGTTAAATCTTTAGGTTAAGACACACGTTTCAATTAAAGTGTCTTTAATGTATTTCTATCGTAACCATTTCAACGACTAAATCGCATGTACCTGTCAAGCAAGGTAATAAAGCTAACGAAATAAATCATACACAGAAAATTTAGGTATAGTCAAGAATGTACTAGAGGGAAAAAATATTTTGTCTGTACTTAAAAAATTTTTTTTACAACTTTCTCTCAGTCATGATTGACAAAAGTCCCCAACCAAAAGACCGACGTGATGTTTGGCCGACAAAGTATTTCTGCTGTCACTGGGATCCTCTGGCTCGGAGAATCCCAGACTGATGTCCAGGCGACAGCAGGGTCCCCCCCCCCCCCCCCATCCCCCCGCCTCGCCATTCAGCGCCTTTCAACCAAGCGGTGAATCCGAAATCCGGGTAATAAAGCGGTTTGTCTAATTACCGTGCCGACGAGTATGTTAGTCAAAACGCCGAGACGCTCTGTAAAAGGAAATTTTGACAGCTCGAATACTTTTCTCTGATTTGACTCTGCGGGAATGATTGTGGAGGGGGGAAAAAATAGACACGTCATTAGAAATTGTGATTCTTCTTTTAAATATAGATTCCCCTGTGCGGTCAGAAATGATTTTTTTTTCTTCATATCACATTTTTAACTGGTATGTTTAATAAATATGTGTCCTGTGTTGTATTGCCAAATAGAATGTAACTAAATATATTTAATGTATCCCCGCAATATATTTTTTCAGTATAATTTGACAGGGTTAAAGTTCGTGAACTTTGGCCTATAACTTTGTTTTCTATTATGGTAGACCAACCGTTAAATTAATATGATCTAATTGTTAATTCTGATTGTGTATTTTGCCATAGTGCAGCTTAAAAGCACTTGTTAAAGTCTAGATGTTTAATATGAACAATTATTATTTATAACAGTGGTTTAATATAAACAGTTTATTTTCAACGTTTTATAATTAATAGTCTATTAAAGTGTTTATCATGAAAAGCATATTTTGAACTGAAGGATTTGCTATGAACATTTCACTATGAAATGTTTTCAGCTGTTTATTCTGAACAGTTTATTATGAACAATATTAGAGGAATTATTATGTACTTTTTATTATAAACAATTTATTCCGAGCAGTTTATTATAAACAGGTTAATATGAACAGTTTATTATGAACTGTTTTGAACAGTTTATTATGAACAGAAATAGAGGATTTATTATGTACCTTTTATTATAAACATTTTATAATAAACGGGTTACTATGAATAGTTTATTATGAACTGTTTTGAACTGTTTATTATAGAAGGTTCTTGAAGTAGATTTGACTGCTTTTTGGTGTCTTAGTTGAATAAGACCGACCAGATAAAGTTGTTTTTTTTTTTTGGCTAATTATAATCTGCGATAGTTTAATAATTCCAGCGAACTTGTACATTCACGTCTAGAATGTTCTGAAAAGAGAAAAATATCGAAATGAATGAGAGTGTAACTTCACACATACAAATATACAAACAATAGCTCATAACACCAAGTTTTTTTTTTTTTAATAGACACAAATTTAAATTATTCAACCCAAATCATAGCTGATGATGTAATACAGACAAAAACCAGACAAAAACCCAAATCAAGCAAATATACGAACTGTAAAATAAAATATTGGCCTTCTTATCTTTAAAAAAAAACGTAATAGGTTTCCAATCGATTTTACAGCATGTTAACATCTAACAATTTTAAAAAATATTTTCATTTATTTAAAGTACGTTACATTATATTAAAGTTGTGTCATAATTATTTAATTTGTTTCCTTAAGAGCTGGTTACTTAATTTTTTTTTATATTTTTTTTTTCACGTTCTGCTTTTTTACAAACCAAACCCCGGAAGTTGTAACGCAACCGGATGTCTAAAAAAAAGTGTTGAACGCCACACGAAAACAAAAGAAAAGGCGTAATATCAGCGTTGTGGCTGAGAACTAAACACGTGTTTTGAGAGGCAACACCCCCACAATGGACGTCAGAGGAGGTTCCCATTTCAATTGTGAGGGGGCAAACTGTAGAGAGGCCGGTGAGATTCTGGATAAAGACAAAGGGTTTTTCTTTGCCTCTAAGCAGAGTACATACGTAAGTGGTAGTTTATTGTGATCAGTGGTGCATTAATACTAATAGTAATGCCAAGGGTAATGGTATTTGTAAGAAATGCTAATGGGCTGAATATTAGTGTTCAGTGTTCCTTCCAGACTTTTTTCTCCGGGGGTGGGGGGGGGGGGGGGCACTTGGGGGGGGGTGGTAATGTCGAGGTTACGGATAAATCTTAGGATTTAGAATTGCGATTCTATTAAATTCATTTCATAGTTTCAATACAAAGCGCCGCTGTTTTACGAAAGACAAAAACTATTTTCAATTGTCGGGTATGGCGATACCCGAGAAATACTAGATGGAACTAAAGAAAAAAAAATACGTTAAAAACCTGGGCCTGAAGGACATGATCGGAGACATTAAAGCTTCAACCTTAAAGGCATAACAATGAAAACCCCCAACGGAAAATAAAAACTCAGGAATTCATAGGCATGAAATTAAAAAACCCCACACACAAAGCTAGGCATAACAAGGGAGGGAACTAGTTTTATTAATGTATGATTTGTGGAATTCTAGTAGCTCCCCTTTGTAAAACTCTGAATTTGACAACCATTTTTTTTTTTAAATTTACGAGAACCTATACTTGGTACCTGACATGTTTTTTGACGTTATAGACTAGCCGACGAAAGATTTTGATACGCTCTACTTCACACACACCTTATCCACAACACAACTTAGCCCCCCCCCTCCCTCCGTCCTCTCTCCACGTGACAGGTGATCCTGTTCTACCTGATCCTGGCGCCGGTCATCATGGCGTTTCTGTTCTGCTGCTAGAGCTGGTACGAGAAGGCGTGCGAGGACTGCGATGACAGGGAGTCTAAGCTGATGATGCAGGCCGTGCCCAACTACAAACTCAAGTACGAGTGTTGTAAGAAAAATGTCGCACCTATCTTGGTGAGTACATCTGGGGGTGGGGGGGGGGGGGTGAGGGGAGGGGGGGGGGGAGACAGGGAGTCTAAGCTTATGATGCAGGCCGTGCCCAATTACAAACTCAAGTACGAGTGTTGTAAGAAAAATGTCGCACCTATCTTGGTGAGTACATCTGGGGGTGGGGGCGAGAGGAGGGGGGGGGGGGGCAGGGAGTCTAAGCTAATGATGCAGGCCGTGCCCAATTACAAGCTCAAGTACGAGTGTTGTAAGAAAAATGTCGCACCTATCTTGGTGAGTACATCTGGGGGTGAGGGGAGGGGGGAGGGGGGGGGGCCGTTCTCAATTTCAAGCTCAAGTATGAGTGTTGTAAGAAAAATGTCACACCTATCTTGGTGAGTACACCTGGGGTTGGGGGGTGAGGGGAGGGGGGGGAAGACAGGGAGTCTAAGCTTATGATGCAGGCCGTGCCCAATTACAAGCTCAAGTACGAGTGTTGTAAGAAAAATGTCGCACCTATCTTGGTGAGTAAACTACGGGGGGGGGGGGTGATGGGGGGGGGGGGCAGGGAGTCTAAGCTTATGATGCAGGCCGTGCCCAATTACAAGCTCAAGTACGAGTGTTGTAAGAAAAATGTCGCACCTATCTTGATGAGTACCGTTGCAGAGGCGTAGCGAAGAAGGGGCGGGTGGGTACATATGTCCCAAGGCGCCGACCTTATGGGCGCATGAATGGGTTGAAAAAATATTAAAAGCTAATTTCCGCTGAAGTTTTGAATTATAAACATAAAAAATATCAGGGGGTGGGGGGTGCGCCAAATTGATAGTTTGTACCCAGGCGCCGGGGGGGGGGGGTAGCTACGCCTCTGGGGGGGGTGATGCGTTATACAGTCGGGGTTTTTAAAAGGGAAAGTCGACATTAATGTGTGAGGAGTGCGTGTCGAGGCTCATGAAGCAAACCTTGGTAACAAAGTGGCCCTTATAGGTGCGGTAGTACAGGAGGCCAAAAGGTGGGTCATAGAGGGCCCATTATTGGTGGGTCGTACAACAGGGCGCCATCAAAGGTAGGTCGTATAGGGTGCCGTTATTAGTCGGTGTTATCAAGGGCGTTTTGCTAGGTGGTTCGTATACCAATGCACTAGCATTGGTGCGTCGTATAGGGCCCTTTATTGTTGGGTCTTACACAGAGGCGTAGCGAGGGGGGCATGGGGGCATATGGTCGGCGCCAAAATGGGTTGGAAAAATAAATAAAAAGTTTGAGGGGGGTGTGTAAATCAAAAGTTCGAGGGGAGGTGAAAACAAAAGTTTGATGGGGGGGGGTGCAAATCGAAAATTTGAGGGGGGTGCAAATCGAAAGTTTGAAGGGGGTGCAAATCGAAAGTTTGTCCCCGGGCGCCGGGAAGGGTCGCTACGCCTCTGGTCGTACAGCAGGTAGACCATCATATTTGGGGTAGCATTGTACATGTAGTCACTCCTTCTCTAGGACTGCTCAATTTGAAACGTAGTTTTCCGTGGCGCATCTTTATGGTCACTCTTAACACTGGATAGCTCAGTCGGAATTTTTATACAAATATAAATTATAAATTGTAAAAACTGATGCCATTATACCCCTTTCACTGGGTTTAAAGAACGATTGCAAGAATCCTTTAATGATAGGAAAAGGAAGACTAGCGTTTAACCGATTTAGTTTTGATTACAATAGAACGATATAAAATACAGAATATTTGTGGGTCTGCCTCACTTTGAGGTGTAGGCCTACATTGTCAAGTTATGATTCTAATTTGGGTTGAATCATTAAAGGGTGTAAATATACACAAGTGCGAATATGGAGGTGCAGTTTTGTTTCTGTGTGAATATGGAGGTGCTGTTTTATTTCTGTGTGAATATGGAGGTGCTGTTTTGTTTCTGTGTGAATATGGAGGTGTTGTTTTGTTACTGTGTGAATATGGAGGTGCTGTTTTGTTACTGTGTGAATATGGAGATGCTGTTTTGTTACTGTGTGAATATGGAGGTTTTGTTTTGTTTCTGTGTGAATAAGGAGGTTTTGTTTTGTTACTGTGTGAATATGGAGGTGCTGTTTTGTTTCTGTGTGAATATGCAGGTGCTGTTTTGTTACTGTGTGAATATGGAGATGCTGTTTTGTTACTGTGTGAATATGCAGGTGCTGTTTTGTTACTGTGTGAATATGGAGGTGCTGTTTTTGTTTCTTTCAGTTCCCCATCCAGCCAGACTTTGACTTCAAGCACCACTGTGGACAAAATTGTTTGGGTCCCAATAAGGTGCAGGCACCCAGGTACATCTGAACATCTGTACACATCTTCGGTGTGAACATCTAGACATCTGAACATCTGGTCTATGTCAACATCTAGACATCTCAACATCTGGTCTATGTCAACATCCAGACATCTCAACATCCGGTTTATGTCAACATCCAGACACCTAAACATCTAGACACCTCAACATCTGATCTATGTCAACATCTAGACACCTAAACATCTGGTCTATGTCAACATCTAGACACCTAAACATCTGGTTTATGTCAACATCTAGACACCTCAACACGTGTTATATTTGAATAACTAAACAGCCTGATTATTTAAGCCTATACCATCGTTAAATTATGTATTTTTTAAACACAAAATGTTCTCATTCGTTCAACGCGCCATTAACAAAATATTTTTAAAACATCGATTGTTAGAAATCTAAAAAAAAATGTATATTTTCGTATCAAGTCTTACAATAATTTTTCTTGATAAATATTTATGGGTAAAATAAAAAAAAATCGAATTATTCAATTGTTAGTTTTTGTTTTTTTTACTTAAGTATGTTGATTCAATAGATAACACGGACTAATGCTATGCTGTTTTTTCACAGGTAACGTAGGGGTTAAACCATTGTTCTTTGAGTTCATTCATTAACCATCGTTTTATTTTTTATTTTATTTTTGGTTTTGGTTTTTTATATTGCTTGACTACTTTCTTCTTTTTCCTTTTGCATATACAGGCTCGTTGTTGTAATCAGCTTCTGCAGGCGAAGTAGTTTTAGCCTGCTTTTGTACAAGTCTAGCAATAAAGTTTGCCTTTCAAACCTGACGGTCTATGTGGCAAGTCTAGCAATACTAGCATTCAATTTAAAAACTTTATAGGGGTCTTACATGATTGGGGAGGTGGAAAGTCGGACTATGTCTGATGATGGGAGGGAGGGGGTAGGGAGCTAAAACCCTTTTTAAATAAGTGCGACAGCATTTGAGGCCGAGTCCAAAGCCACTGATGTCATGACATAATCGACTGTCTCCAGCGCAGCACTGTCCACTATGATACGATAACATCTAAGTTGTTCCTGTCAGATAACTATGGTCTGCGGTCAAAAACTCTATAGGCATAAACCATCGCCCCCGACAAAAATACAATGGACAATAAAACCGCGACATAAACCCCTTGGACAACCCGCTCCCCCGGCTGTGACATAACCCACTTTGTGGACAAAAACCCCCTCCCCCCAGTGAAGTTTATATAAGGAAATACTAATGATGACAAGAACCGGAGATCATAACTAAAACAATAACACAATTGGTGGGTTGTTATCACGGGGGGGGGGGGGGGTTAGGCAGTGAGGGGTTTATGTCCAAGGGGGTTTGTGTCGAGGAGGGTTTTGTCCAAGGGTGTTTGTGTCGCGGAGGGTTTTGTTCGAGGGGGGGGGGGGGGGTTATAGACCGGGAGCCGATAACGATAACGTTATGACAAGATAATATCAAAGTTGGTCGTGTCTGATCACGTTGTTTTACCCCGAGATGGTATCTTGTACTCGGATTGTCAGGATAAATTAGCAGCGACGTATTTGTGTTGTTTTAATCTATTGGTTAGTGACAAAATTATATTTATTCTAGGTTCAAAACCTAAAACACTATAAGCAAAAATAAAAGTTTAAATAAACAGGTTCCTTTACTCTGAACAAAACAATCTTATGTCAGTCTTTTTGGTAAACAAAAACAAATTTAAATTGATAAGCTGTAAGCACCATTCATTTTCAGTAAAAATATCTTACGAAATTCAATACTAGTAGGCTACTTGTTATGATAAAAATAATTAAACTATTTTAATTTTCAGTTTTTAAAAATTGCAAGCAAGCGTTTTGTATTATTGATTATGTAGAAATAAAGCGTTTTGAATTAGATGAAAGCACAATTCATAACGAAGTATTACTACAGCCATTCTGTATCAGTCCTCACACGCTGATGATGTACTTTGCAATACTACAGCAAACAAGGGGACGACACACGGGGGAAAAAATCTGGACTGGAAAAGAATGAATGAATAGTTTTTGTCCCAACTAATTTCATAAAACCAGTTTATACATATTTTAAAAATTAATAAATTTAGAACAATTTTAAATTTTAAGCTTAAAAATAGAATTTTAATATTTTAAAAATTAATGTAATAAGATTCGCAAATACAATGTACTTGAAAAAATAATAATTTTACTATATAAGACAAACTTTTGGTAGCTATTATTTCAAATCAGGACCACCGTTTGTCTTCCGATATATATTTTTTTGTGCTTCAATCTGACCTAGGTCTAGTCTAGGTGCATTTAAGTTACATTAAAATATAGCGACAAGAAAACCGATTCTTTTAAAAACTATTTATAAAGCATATTCTGCCAATATGATTTCTCCTTATGTCTTTTAATATATGAACTAAAAGTAGTATAAGAATTATATATATATATATATATATATATATATATATATATATATATATATATATATATATATATATATATATATATAATCTGTACAAAGCTGGCACCTACGTTAAAGTTCACAACAGCACCAAAATACTTCATAGCACAAACATAACGTGTCTGTCAGCTGGTAAAATATATCCACAATATATTCAGCTTGCGTTTGATACATCTAAGAGTGTGAAGTGCCCTTTCGAACCTGACGGTCGATAAGGTAGGTGAAGAAGAGTTCACCTGTTTTGGTGACCTCGAGATACTAAGTTTTAATGTGGTCAGCACTATGCCCAGCCGACTTAACTTTCCCTAACATGAGTCAGGTACCCATCACAGTTGCGCGGACTCAGGGACGTTCTACGTACTTGTACGTAGTTTGATCTTGAGATTTTTCGGGTTAGCAGTCGTATACTCTACCGTCCGACCATGTCGTCCAACTTGAATACATATACAGCATCACAGTTTCCTAATTTCTTCCAGGCAGAGCCCCCCCCCCCCCCCCCAACGAAATGGAATTAATATAGAAAATATATACTTTTAACAGTGTCCGCCTCCCCCTCCTACACGAAAATTTCAAGTGCGCCCACCCCCCCCCCCCCCTTAGAAATAAGTCTGGAAGTAACACTGAATTTCATGGGGTATCTATCATGTGTCTTGTAATATTATTATCGGTGGGCTTGGTCCGCCAAGAAAGAAATTTTGTTTTTGTTGATTTGTGAACATATTTAATTCATTGAAGTTAACAATATGGATTTTTTCTAGAAAGTGCTATACGGACCATTAACAAATCAAATGAATAGTTAGGGGGGGGGGGTCATAACCCCCCCACAGAACCCTCGGTATATATATAAAAAGTATGAGGGGGGGTGCAAATCGAAAGTTTGAGGGGGGGTGTAAATCGAAAGTTTGAGTGTGGGGTGCAAATCGAAAGTTTGAGGGGGGGGGGTCAAATCGAAAGTTTGAGGGGGGGGGGGGGGGTGCAAATCGAAAGTTTGAGGGGGGTGCAAATCGAAAGTTTGTCCGGGGTAAAAATTGGACCCCCCCCCCTTGAGACGATCCTGGCTACGCCACTGGCTATATGTGTGTATATTTATTCTCTATTACACCACCTAGCCCATAATATACCCAGTCTTCACCCTACAGATTTTTCATTTTAAATTCGTTCCTGCGAGGGCCGTCACGTGGTGTGTAGCGACGCTGCTGATTGGAGAGACTCTGTTTTTACAAATCCGGCATGTCAGGAAGTGACGTAATTCTTGTCTAAATTTAGATCCGCAGCCGCAGTAAACGATAATGTTGATGCAGCTGTTCATGACATTTAGTATGTTGGAAACAACCTGAAAAGAAATTGGAAATGGCTTAATTAGTTAAATCAAAACTGCTGATCTAAAAATCACACTCGATGTATGAATTTTTATCGTAAGAAATACTTCTCGGACTTTGGTCATAGGGATTTTTCGGTGCCCCACGTTGTGTTGCTGTTTCGTCGAATTGTTTTCTGTTAATTTGTACCATTTTTTTGTTAGGTTTTTTTTTAGCTATCTTCTATGTCGACCTTTAGTCCAATTCGGGCTTCAGTTCATGTCGGCCTTTAGTCAATGTTGCCTTTAGTCCATGTCGACCTTTAGTCCATCTTGGCCTTTAAGCAATGTCGGCATTTAGTCCATGTCGGACTTTAGTCAATGTCGGCCTTCAGTCCATGTTGGCCTTTAATCAATGTGGGACTATTGTCAATATCAGACTTTAGTCCATGTTAGAATCTCGAACATGACGAACTTTTACCGGATACCAGAAAATTGAAAACAATCTCAGAGAATCCCTGATGACACAACAAAGTCCTCCTAACACACTGAGCACCTGTGTTAAAAAATCTTAAAGCGCATATCGTATCCTGTCATGGGTCATGGACCGGACCGGATTTGATAATGCCAAACGCGATTTTAGATAGTGGGGACGGTTTTGGTCAATATGCTGGATGTCATGGCCGTGTCTAAGGTCATGGCCATGTCTAAGGTCATGGCCGTGTCTAAGGTCATGGCCGTGTGTAAGCTAATGTCATGGCCGTGTGTCACACATACTCACAGTGATGAAAGCGTAGGCGCTGGACTGTGACCCCGGGCCGCAGGTTGAACTCCCGTCATGCCTGCGGTGACCCCCGGGGTGAGCCAGGTTATACACGGCCACCATGCACCTGGGGAAGTTGCAGGTCATGTGCAGGAACACGACCAGCACGATGAGCAGTGACAGCTTCCGGTTGGGCTGGGGCAGGTCGGGAAGGTCAACACGCAGCTGGGAGGATTTCTGGACCTGAGTTGATGCATGACACACTCGCGTTACTGGCGGTTGGTTTACATAATATTTTGGAGTTCAGCATTAGTAGGCCTTAAGTGAAAGTTGAACATCTCTGTGCAAAGTTAAATATCAAGAGAGCCTATGCGAAAGTTAAACTTCTTTGCAAAAGTTAGACCTTGATAGACCATAAAATTAATCTCCTCTTTGCTAAAGTTAGACCTTGATAAACCCTAAAGTTAAACGTCTCTATTTAACCCTATGTGATGATGCCTCTATGAAATAGCAAAAATATAGAAATCAGAAGAGCGAAGTCTACTTGCCTCTATGGCATCGTGAAAAAAATGTTTAGTAATAAGAAATTTAAAAAAAAAAAACTCCTTCTACTAAGTAGGCCCATAGCCTATGGAAAAAAAAGACAAACTCTAGTACTTGCCTCTATACCATAGTGAAAAAAAATATTTTGAGAAGAAATGAGAAGACAACTTGCCTCTATGTAGAGCATGGTGTTTATAACGACCATGACGCACCAAGGTATGATGTACCAGATCAGTGGAATCACGAACTGATTGAAGCTGGAATAAGATCAAGTAATTTACTTCATAGTAGTAAAAGTCAAACATACATGTCGGGTCTATATACTTTTTTTTAGATCAAATGAAAACTTAAAAATACATGGCTACTCTATGTTTTCCAAAATACTGCGCATAATACCTGACCCAAGCTACTTACCCCACACTATCTGACTAACACTACCTCTCTAACACTACCTGTCTAACACTACCTACCCAACACTACCTACCTAACACTACCTACCCAACACTACCTACCTAACACTACCTACCCAACACTACCTACCTAACACTACCTACCCAACACTACCTGTCTAACACTACCTACCCTACACTGCACCACACTACCTACCCCCACTACCTACCCCACACTATCTACCCCACACTACCTACCCCACACTACCTGCCCCACACTACCTACCCTACACTACCCCACACTGCCCCACACTACCTACCCTACACTACCTACCCTATACTACCTACCCTACACTACCCTACACTGCCCCACACTACCTACCCCACACTACCTACCCCACACTACCCTACACTGCCCCACACTACCTACCCCACACTACCTGCCCCACACTACCTACCCTACACTACCCCACACTGCCCCACACTACCTACCCTACACTACCTACCCTACACTACCTACCCTATACTACCTACCCTACACTACCCTACACTGCCCCACACTACCTACCCCACACTACCTACCCTACACTACCCTACACTGCCCCACACTACCTACCCCACACTACCTACCCTACACTACCCTACACTGCCCCACACTACCTACCCCACACTACCTACCCCACACTATCTACCCCACACTATCTACCCCACACTACCTACCCCACACTACCTACCCCACACTACCTACCCTACACTACCCTACACTGCCCCACATTACCTACCCCACAACCTACCCCACACTACCTACCCCACACTACCTACCCCACACTATCTACCCCACACTACCTACCCCACACTACCTACCCCACACTACCTACCCTACACTACCCTACACTGCCCCACATTACCTACCCCACAACCTACCCCACACAACCTGTCCCACACAACTTGTCCACACAACCTACCCCACACTACCTACCCCACACTACCTACCCCATACAACCTACCCCACACAACCTACCCCACACAACTTGTCCACACTACCTACCCCATACAACCTACCCCACACAACCTGCCCCACACAACCTGCCCCACACAACCTACCCCACACAACCTACCCCACACTACCTACCCCACACAACCTACCCCACACGACCTACCCCACACTACCTACCCCATACAACCTACCCCACACTACCTACCCCACACTACCTACCCCACACAACCTACCCCACACTACCTACCCCACACAACCTACCCCACACTACCTACCCCATACAACCTACCCCACACTACCTACCCCACACTACCTACCCCACACGACCTACCCCACACTACCTACCCCACACGACCTACCCCACACTACCTACCCCACACAACCTGCCCCACACTACCTACCCCACACTACCTACCCCACACGACCTACCCCACACTACCTACCCCACACGACCTACCCCACACGACCTACCCCACACGACCTACCCCACACGACCTACCCCACACTACCTACCCCACACTACCTACCCCACACGACCTACCCCACACTACCTACCCCACACGACCTACCCCACACTACCTACCCCACACAACCTGCCCCACACTACCTACCCCACACTACCTACCCCACACGACCTACCCCACACTACCTACCCCACACGACCTACCCCACACTACCTACCCCATACAACCTACCCCACACTACCTGCCCCACACGACCTACCCCACACTACCTACCCCACACTACCTACCCCACACTACCTACCCCACACGACCTACCCCACACTACCTACCCCATACAACCTACCCCACACTACCTGCCCCACACGACCTACCCCACACTACCTACCCCACACGACCTACCCCACACTACCTACCCCACACTACCTACCCCACACTACCTACCCCATACAACCTACCCCACACTACCTACCCCATACAACCTACCCCACACAACCTACCCCACACAATTTGTCCACACTACCTACCCCATACAACCTACCCCACACTACCTACCCCACACAACCTGCCCCACACTACCTACCCCACACTACCTACCCCACACGACCTACCCCACACTACCTACCCCACACGACCTACCCCACACTACCTACCCCACACAACCTGCCCCACACGACCTACCCCACACTACCTACCCCACACTACCTACCCCACACAACCTGCCCCACACTACCTACCCCACACTACCTACCCCACACGACCTACCCCACACTACCTACCCCACACGACCTACCCCACACTACCTACCCCACACAACCTGCCCCACACGACCTACCCCACACTACCTACCCCACACGACCTACCCCACACTACCTACCCCACACTACCTACCCCACACTACCTACCCCACACAACCTACCCCACAATACCTACCCCACACTACCTGACCCACACAACATGTCCCACACTACCTGCACTCATACATGCTGCTCCTGCCAAACTCTGTCACCTCCACTACGGCGACCGTCATGTTCAGGTAAGTCACGTGATTCACCTCCTTGGAGAAGATGAGCGGACAGACCAACCCCGCCACCCCGTGGGTACAGGCCGCTGTCAGCAGGTACACGGACACAGGGTTCCAGCGGGACTTCATGCAGAACAGTGGGTACCTGCGGGTGAGGACAGAACAGTGGGTACCTGCGGGTGAGGACAGAACAGTGGGTACCTGCAGGTGAGGACAGAACAGTGGGTACCTGCGGGTGAGGACAGAACAGTGGGTACCTGCAGGTGAGGACAGAACAGTGGGTACCTGCAGGTGAGAACAGAACAGTGGGTAACTGCAGGTAAAGACAGAACAGTGGGTACCTGCAGGTGAGGAAACAGAACAGTGGACACCTGCAGGTGAGGACAGAACAGTGGGTACCTGCAGGTGAGGAAACAGAACAGTGGGTACCTGCAGATGAGGACACAGAACAGTGGGTACCTGCAGGTGAGGACAGAACAATGGGTACCTGCAGGTGAGGACAGAACAGTGGGTACCTGCAGGTGAGGAAACAGAACAGTGGACACCTGCAGGTGAGGACAGAACAGTGGGTACCTGCAGGTGAGGAAACAGAACAGTGGGTACCTGCAGGTGAGGACACAGAAAAGTGGGTACCTGCAGGTGAGGACAGAACAATGGATACCTGCGGGTGAGGACAGAACAGTGGGTACCTGCAGGTGAGGACAGAACAGTGGGTACCTGCAGGTGAGGACAGAACAGTGGGTACCTGCAGGTGAGGACAGAACAGTGGACACCTGCAGGTGAGGACAGAACAGTGGGTACCTGCAGGTGAGGACAGAACAGTGGGTACCTGCAGGTGAGGACAGAACAGTGGGTACCTGCAGGTGAGGACAGAACAGTGGGTACCTGCAGGTGAGGACATAACAGTGGGTACCTGCAGGTCAGGACAGAACAGTGGGTACCTGCAGGTGAGGACAGAACAGTGGGTACCTGCAGGTGAGGACAGAACAGTGGGTATCTGCAGGTGGGACAGAACAGTGGGTACCTGCGGGTGGGGACAGAACAGTGGGTACCTGCGGGTGGGGACAGAACAGTGGGTACCTGCAGGTGAGGACAGAACAGTGGGTACCTGCAGGTGAGGACAGAACAGTGGGTACCTGCAGGTGAGGACAGAACAGTGGGTACCTGCAGGTGAGGACAGAACAGTGGGTACCTGCAGGTGAGGACAGAACAGTGGGTACCTGCAGGTGAGGACAGAACAGTGGGCACCTGCAGGTGAGGACAGAACAGTGGGTACCTGCAGGTGGGGACAGAACAGTGGGTACCTGCGGGTGGGGACAGAACAGTGGGTACCTGCAAGTGGTGGCACACGTGAGTAGGTAACACCCAATTTAAGGCGTGCTTAAACTTCTCCTAACTACACGCTTGAGTAGGTAACACCCAATTTAAGGCGTGTTTAAACTATACCTCACTACACACGTACCTTGGAGACACCCAATTCAAGTTTAAGGTATACTTAAACTTCCCTCACTTAAACTACCCCTGACTACATGCTTGAGTAGGTAACACAATTTAAGGCGTTTTTTTTTTGTTGTTTTTTAAACCTCACTACACACGTGAGTACTAACCAACCACTTTAAACTACACACAACATAATATTGTAATGTTTTCGGGCAAAGCGTATTAGCACCGTGTCACTCCTATAGCAGAAAGTCAAGAGGTTTTTTTTTTTACAAATGTGGAGCCGCCCATTAATAAGTAAGTAAAGTACCACTTCGAACCTGACGGCCCATTTACCAGGGGAACTAAAGTGTATCTGCAAACGAGAACGCTCTACATTTCGACCACGCTGTCACACACCTATAAATGAAGCTTTGCTTTTTTGCCGTTTTTTACTTTCTCGTATATACGTAGTATAGAGAAAGTATTGTAATCGTGCAAAAAAAAAAATCGAGATTTTTACAAATCTCGACGTTTTACACCTCACTGATACGGAAAAACATAATTTTGCAATCTTGTCCGTATGTCTGTGTGTGTGTGTGTCTGTGTGTCTGTGTGTCTGTGTGTGTGTCCGTGTGTAAACACGATAACTTGAGTACCGTTACAGCTAGGTTGATGAAATTTCATATATAAGTATTATATCAAAATCGTAGATCCGTATCAACTTTTGAGCGATTTCCGACAACCGGAAGTGGTACTTTTTCTACTTTGAATTTTTCAAAAGCCTATAACTTGAGTACTATTTCAGATAGATAAATGAAATTTCACATGTAAGTAAAAGATCTAATTCTCTACCTTCTGTTAAATTTTGAGTAATTTCCGTTGACCGGAAGTAGTAATTTACGCTACTTCCGATTTCTCAAAAAACTAATGTAAATTTTAAAAGTACTAATAATATTGCGCACTATTATGCGCTTTTTTATTTCGCGTTCACTTGGTGTGCAATTAATTTGTCTACGAGATTTTATTCTATTTTTAAAACTTTAAGTATTTAAAATGGATTAAAAATCATGTCTATAGCCCGAGTTCCCATCCCCTGTTATTTTATATAAAAATATTCGAGAAAGTTTAGGGGAGATCACTCCCGGTTTATTTTTTTAAGGTTTTTTTTTTTTGCGGAAGAATCGAAGCCTCCTAAAACTACTTAGCCTGTCCATTCACGATTTTATATCGTTTATTTTACGCAAATGGAGTTGAAGATTAGCCAGATTTGTTATAAACTTTTTTTAGCGTACCATTTATAAGAAAAAATATTTAAAATACTAAATAATTTTAATTATTCAGTTTAAATGTGCTTGTTTAACTTCAAAAGTATGACGTCATATTTTCGTTATTCTCTCCTCCCTCCCTCCCTTCACCAAGGCATATCTTCGCGGTGGGCTCCGTCACCCAGAAGAAAGTCTACCGCCCCCCCCCCCCCCCCCCACGAATGAAATTGAATTTATATAGAAAATATATACTTTTACCAGTGCCCCCCACGCCAAATATCAAGTGCCCCCCCCCCCCCATAGAAAAAAGTCTGAAAGAAACACTGCTTCTCCCCTTCGTCACTAAAGACCGACCAACCTCTACCTACCATCTCTTCCCCCACTTTAACATGAGTCGTCGTCGTCGTCCCCCCACCCCCCGTAAGTTTCAAGTACCCCCTCCCCACCGGAGAGAACAAAAATGTCTGAAAGAAACCCTATCCCAGCAACAACACAGCGAACCAACATGCCGCGTTTATGGACCAGCGACTGAGTGCATAAGTTAGTGCACGATTAATTGTGGGTCTCTTATCGTTGGTTGTCATACAGCCATTGATTGATTGAGTTTTCCTTGCAGTTCAAATGTTTGATTTCCTTTGCCCGTTTTCCTGAACGTTCTTTTCTTTATCACCTGTGTAATGAGCTCATATTTTCCGGCTGTTACCTTATATACAGGTAACTTACCTTTAATTACCTTATAGCCGGGTACCTTGTGTTACATTATATACAGGTAGTTTGTGCCGGCAGTTACCTTATATAAAGGTACCTTGTGCCGGCAGTTACCTTATATAAAGGTACATTGTGCCGGCAGTGACATCATATACATTTACCTCGTACCGGCAGTTACCTTGTAGCCAGGTACCTTGTGCCGGCAGTTACCTTATATAAAGGTACATTGTGCCGGCTGTTACCTTATAGCCAGGTGCATTGTGCCGGCTGTTACCTTATAGCCAGGTACCTTATGCCGGCAGTTACCTTGTAGCCAGGTACCTTATGCCGGCTGTTACCTTATAGCCAGGCACCTCGTGCCGGCAGTTACCTTATAGCCAGGTACCTCGTGTCGGCAGTTACCTTATAGCCAGAAACCTCGTGTCGGACGTTACCTTATAGCCAGAAACCTCGTGCCGGCATTTACCTTATAGCCATGTACCTTATGTCGGCAGTTACCTTATAGCCAGGTACCTCGTGTCGGCAGTTACCTTATAGCCAGGTACCACGTGTCGGACGTTACCTTATAGCCAGGTACCTATCCACAGAAAGCAGCAGTGTGATATAACTGGAGATGCCGAGAAAGACGAAAAACAATGGCTCCACATACACTTGCACATAGGGATCTACGTAGAACGCTGTTTGTTGGAGTTGTAGATCAGTGAGGAAAATTGCGTACGATCTGAGTAGAAATAAAGCCATGCGCAGAGCGTGTCAACAGTTTACAACGATATAGAAAAATAAATCGAAATAAGAATCGTGCACATGTTAGATCTACATTCTATGCTAGCCTGAAGATCTCGGTTCGGACTCGTGACTACGGCGCAGGACGTCCTTGAGTCAACCCAGCTTTGATGGGTACCGGACTAAATATAGGGAAACAAAGACCACGGTATCTCTCGTATGCCGAGGTTATTGAAGTAGATGAACTCTACTTTATTTGCCCCACTTGTCTTGGGCATGACCAGGAAAAGATGATGATACTACATAAAGGTAGGGTGTCGATTATCATTTTGTTATATTATGTTGTATGGTGTGGTGGTATGGAGAATGTTATACTGCATTTGATTTTATTCTTTCTAAGTTTCTGCCATTTAGAAACGGTTAATTGAAACAAATTAATTTTTTAATGCAATTTAAACTAAAGCTTTGATAATAATAAAGGCACAGCAAGCACTTTTCTCTACATTGATGGCATTTAAGGATTCACAATTTTTTAAACTTACTAATATTGTCTTGGTTTATTTATGAAGGGAAGTGGGGGTTTCAGAACTCTTATATTATTATGGGGGTTCACGGCAGGCTATATAAAGTTATGTAGGGGTGTTTTATAATATTGGGTTACTCAAAGGAAATGTTATATACCTTTATATTGGGTACTGATGCTAAATAATATGAGTATGGTGTTAGGTAATACTATGTATCGTTATATAGAGTTGGTGTGTTATATACAATCGGACGGATCTAATGAAGTGCTATATATTGTTGTATAGAGTAGGGTGTGTGAGTAATCTACGGAAGGGCTGTATACGGTGTAGGGGGGTGTTACATAATATGTGGACAAAGTATGTTAAGTTTACCTGTACCGGCCGACAGCAAAAGCCAGCACGCAAATATCCGCGAGCGCCAAGAGCCGCAGGTAGTGCACAGCATTCGATGACGTCATGGCGCGCTGTTGCGACAGCACGAGGAGCACCAAGACGTTGCCCAGGATACCGACGACACAGAGCAGGTTCAGGACGTAGCCGTACCCAATTTTGTGCGCCTGGGCGAAAAAGGCGTCTTCCATGGCGCCGACAAACGACTAGCTGATGATTTGTAGCAATCCGCTTGGAACTCCTTTTTATGAAATTATCCGACCCATATCTATCACAAAACTCGATCTAGTTTTGTAATGTAATTTTAAATTCGTTCATTTAAAACAATATTTTAACATTACTTAATCTCATTAGTTGCAAGAGTTAATGTCCATTCAGTAATCGTCTTCAGTGTAGCAATAATTGATTTATTAAATAATATAAAGCGTATTATGAATCACTAATATAGAAATACTGGTTAAGTACACATTGTTTGTTCAAAACGTTGTAACAAAATATTCGATATTTTTAATAGATAAAAGTAACCGTTTACTTTATCCATATTCATTAACACAAATAACGGTTAACTTGTATCCTTATTTACTAACACTAACCCCATACTTACAGTACTACAGATCTACAAATAGGACTTAAACATTAAAAATGTGTACAATAGAAACTTTATAACATTGAAATTGTGTATAACGTTAACCCGAACAAACTTCTTGAAACCTCCATCCACGTCTGTCATCACCAGCAGCAGACGATAAACGTGACGAGCTAAGGCCTCCGTTATCACCATTCAGAAATCAGGAACCTTATCTGCAACGCTACGATTTATTCCAGTGATTAGACCCGCCCCGCCACCCTCGTCACCCCGCCCGCCGTATTAACCAAACAGCTTCCGAAGCAGATTTGAATAATTAATTAATTTGTTTGGTGATTGTTTCTGTTTTAATTTTTTTTTTTCGTTAACTAGATGATCGCTGTTCTAATTGGTTCGTTGACTCTATTTTTCTTCTTGTCTTGACTCTCCTACTTTTTATTTTAAGTATCTCGGTTACAACAGAACAATGTTGACATCTTTCCATTTCGTCCCCTTTTCCACTGTTTCCTGTTGATATTTTTAAACTACCGAAGTGCGTCACCAGCCACAATGTTTGAACTTTCCCCTATGCATATAAATTAGAGGCAATAAAGTGAAGAGTAACCTGAGCTCAGTGTGTTAAGGGACCAGAACTCTACAGATATGAAATGACCAGTAGTCAAACACACATTCTCAAAATCTCTGCTTTTGCAAATTTGAAGTAGGCCTGTGTGTTGTACCAGTGTTTGAAGTCAAAATAATGGATTTTTTTTAAAAAAAAGGGTCTTAGATTACTGTTAGTTAACTAAAAACAAATAAGACTTGCAAATATACCTCTAACCTTTACCGGGCTTTACCCAAACCCTAACCCAAGTAATACAATAGCTCTAACCCTAATCTCTATCCATTAACTTAACATTAAAACATGAGATTACAACACTTCTAGTAACGTCGCATATTTTCTTCAGCCTGAGCTAGGCCTTACAAATATTTTTAAAATGACCTCAGATCATTTGCGCTTTACACCAAGAACTGTACTTGTAAAAAATAATTCGTCATGAGAAAGAATCGACCGGATCCATATTTGAGATAATATGTGAAATGTTCTATGCCATTAAATTTTTATGACTACAAAAAAAAAAAAAAAAAAAAAAAAAAAAAAAAAAAGTCGCATATTTTCTGAACGGTCTGTTTTTGGACATCGGTAAAAACAAAACTTCAATAAGACGTTTAATTAGTTTAATTACTTAGCCGGCTATTTATTTCAAGTGGGGGGTGTAGGTAAGAGATGATGGGCCAATAAGGCGGGCGCTCAAGCCTACTGTTGCTCCGCCTCTGACTGGTGTACAACCTCTCAGAACCACACCCAGGGGCCACACAAATTTACCCCAGGGCTCACACGTTAATTATTCTCGACATAAAACACACAGAGACCCACTTACACAACTCTCGCTGTCTCTTCCAATTTACTGCTGGTGGTCGCCCTTGATTACGTATTGATGCCGTTATATTATTCCTCGTGCATTTTCAAGTTATTTATAAATCTTTTACGTGAAATATTGACGTCACCTATAATTTATTCTTCTAATCAGACACGCTAAAATAATCCACGTGCTCACAGTGTGGCTCGTTAAGATTAAATATTGTTGATCACAATTATAATTTTACTAGGCATGCTGCCCAGCTTCGCTTAGGCTTTCGAAAACATTGAGAATTTGCATGCTTAATTAATTCGCCCGAGGGTCGGTCTACGACCTCAAGAGTTATGAAGAGGTTTAATCCGTGGACATTTTTTTTCGATTTATAGCTCATATAAGGTACCGGTCAGTCGAGGTCAGTTTTGACCCCCTCATCGTAGACTTTTCGGCCAACCGGCCCCCGTGTTCTGTCGCCCCAAGGCAAGATCCTGCCAAATTTGAAGCGCCTGCGGCGCCGGGAAGTGCCCTATCGGACACCCGACAATCTAGATCTAGATCTAGATTCCTAAAAGAATTTTTTTTTTAAGTTTAGCCCGAGCATAATAAAAATAAATACATTAACCAAGTTGACTTGGTGTGTCTCGAACCCGCACCACCTGCGTGGTTTAATGTACACTAACATCTTCGCTATTTAGGCAGATGACGTCAATAGTTAATGTATAAGCAATAGTGACGTCACAGTTTTATGCGTTCTTTTTCACATATATTAATGCTTTTCCGGTTGCATAAATAATACTGTTTCTCTACATTCGAATACGCCTTAAATTTTTATTTTTCTTCTTTAAATAAAATTGTGGTTATACATTTAAAACATCTAACATATTATTTTCAACAAAAGTCCGTAAAAAATTCTCGATATATCGCTGCCGATTCTGACGTGATGTCCGGCGAAAATTTTTTGCGGACAGAGAAAGAGAGAGAGAGAGAGAGAGATGTGCGCACATTGGGCTTTTATAAATTAGGATTATAAATCAGCGAAAAGACCGAAAACAAAAAGAATTAAAGGCGCTAACAAAGGTTGCTAGCAGAGTTTCTTCCAGGCATCTCTTCGGGGGGGCGAAGCCCCCCCGAAAAATTTTTACCGCCCCCCCGAACGAAATAAAATTTATATAATTTATATAGAAAATATATACTTTTAACAGTGTCCGCCCCCCCCGAAGAAAGTTTACCGCCCCCCCGAAGATTTCAAGTGCCCCCCCGGAGAAAAAAGTCTGGAAGAAACACTGGTTGCTAGGGCATAAATAAGATAATGTTTTGAAGGGCTTTTAAATTTATAGGCAGATGTATTTTTGTTACACGGTAGAAGAATGTAAAGATGACGTTTGCACTCAGATAATACCTTCGTAAAATACCAATTTAATTTATATAAACTTGGATCATTGTTTGAACTTAAAACCTATATTATAGGTATATTCTAATAATTATATTTGATTGTGAAAAAGATAGAAATTGGTTGTACAGTTAATGCAAAAAAAAACTATTCTATATTAAACTTTCAAACGGAAATTATTTTATATAGGCCTAATGGTATTTAAAAGATTTAAATTGAATTTTGTTTTCCAAATTGTATTAATGAGTTATTATTTCCCCTATTGTTGTTCGCTCCCCTTAATTTTTTTTTTTATTAATACATATTATTAAGTGAAATTGTAATTTATTTTACAAGTTACAAAATTGGTTGTATTCTTTGGCGTGTTGTGTTGTGTAGTGTTTAGTATGTTTTGTGTGATTTATTATGTGTTTTGTTCTCTGCTGTTTTCTATTCACCAAAAAGAACTTTAAAATGTGAGCCTAGTAGCCAAGCACGGCTATGCAGCGAGTGCAGGCCTATATACAGAAGCGTAGCGAGGGGGGTGGCGGGGGGTGTGGACCGCACCGGGTGACACCATTTAAGGGGGTGACATCAAGGCAAAAAATAGCAAAATATATAGAGAAAAACTTGAGGGGGGTGGTGCAAATCGAAAGTTTGAGGGGGGGGGGGGGGGGTGCAAATCGAAAATTTGAAAGTCTGTCCCCGGGAAGGGTCACTACGCCTCTTGGGGGAGGGGTGACATCATTAAGTGCCGCACCGGGTGACACCCGACCTCGCTACGCCATATATATATATATATATATATATATATATATATATATATATATATATATATATATATATATATATATATATATATATATATATATATATATATATATATATATATATATATACATTATATATATATCGTCCTTTCTTGCCCCCCCCTAAACCTAGCTAAAAAATTAGAGTGGGGGGGGGGGGGAGTGCTGTTCTATGAATGTTGGGGGATTGTGAGGGCTTAACTGAAATAATGCTTTGTGGGCGATAATGAAAAAGACTGTTCATATTTGGAGTTTTTAAGTAAACAGAGTTGCATAGTAGTATATTTTAAAAAGAAGCGGTGAAAATGCATTTAGTATTTTACAACAATTAACCCCTTTTATGAGACTACGCATGAGACCCGGACATAAGAAAGTACCGATAGGCCCTATTGTTTACTTGATCCTAGTCTCAACTAGGCCTTGAATTTTTACAGCACATTGCGTACACTAGTTGCCATCGAGAAACCGCGCAGTAAGAATGAGTGGAAAATTTTAACACTGATGAGATAACCTACTTATGATCTAATTACGAATTTACCACACAAAATATGTGTAATCGATTAACAACCACAATATAGGTTTAGTCTTATAAATGATACAGAGTTTCTTCCAGGCATCTCTTCGGGGGGGGGGGGGGGCTAAGCCCCCCCGAAAATTTTTTACCGCCCCCCCCCCCCCCCGAACGAAATGAAATTTATATAATTTATATAGAAAATGTATACTTTTAACAGTGCCTACCCCCCCCCCCCCGAAGAAAGTCTACCGCCCCCCCCCCCCGGAGAAAAAAGTCTGGAAGAAACACTGCATAGAATTGAGATTTAGATTTAGATCAATTCTAAGCTTGTCAGTTTATTTGAGGTGAATTTTTTTTAGTGAAAAGCAACAAGATAAATTCAGATTAATAACATTGAGACAGATATGGCCCAGATCTTGGCCTCTACATAATGCTTATTTAATTTCGTCATATGATTTTGTTTAAGAAAAAAAAAGCGCATGGAAGTTTAAAAAAATGTTTATTTAATACAGTTTGAGTTTGGCATTAAAATTAATTTTCTTAAATGTAAAGGTGTTAGATAACTGCAAGGTTCTCTATTTGTTTCATTGTACCAGAGGCGTAGCGAGGGGGGGGGGGGCGGGAAGGGGGGACATATGTCCCCGGGCGTCGACCTTAGGGGGGCGCCCAAATGGGTTGGAAAAACAAATTGAAAGCTTGAGGGAGGGTGCAAATCGAAATTTTGAGGGGGTGCAAATCGAAAGTTTGAGGGGGTGCAAATCGAAAGTTTGAGGGGGGTGCAAATCGAAAGTTTGTCCCCGGGCACCGGGAAGAGTCGCTACGCCTCTGCATTGTACCAATAAATTTCAATCAATGATGATCACCTTAAATTATAAATGAGTGATCACTTAATTAACCGCTTTGTAAAACAATTTTTAAGTTGAAGTAAAACTTGTTTTTTTTTTATTTTCATAAATACTGCATTTTAAGACTCAAACTAGATTCTAAAATTATATTTTGGTAATTCATATTTTTATAGCAAGTTAATTTAATTTAAACTCAGGATTTTTAAGCCCTCGCAAAAACTAAAATCTCCAATGAAACTAATTTTTAATATAAATAGTTATTTAGGTCTGAACTAATAATAATATGAATATTTTCATTTTGTGTGAAAACGAAAGTAGAAATTCGTCAGCTGGTATATCCCAGCATTCTGTAAAGGATCTGACGTCACGCAGCAAAACATTTGGGACTCGTCAGTAGGTTTGCCTTCAATACGATTGAGCACTCATCAAAGTTTATTCATGGCCGGTTGGTTTGTAATTGAGCATAATTACAAACCATAGCTTTCTAAGCAATACTGGCATCGTCGTCCGATTCAGAAGACGGTGGTGTCTCGCCCCCACCGCTTAAAAAACTGCGATTTTCACTCACGAATATGCAGGCCAATGGTTGTTCTCAACATAACGGGACGACTGAGCCTTTTGACTCGCACTCATTAAGAAATCCCCCGTCTACATCAAACGGAGAAATTACCACTAACGGTACAATGGTTGGCCAAAATAATAGAAACTTGTCAAGAACTGACCAAGATATTGTTAGACTCATTGGGCAACATTTGAGAGGATTGGGATTCAAGTGAGCTTTTAATTAAATTGACTTCTTTGTTCTTTTCCTCAGTTGCTTGTAATTTAATTAATTAATTAGACTAACTCCATTATTATTCATTATGCAAATTAGGCCTAATCATTTTAAATGGTCTACCTTTTTACCCTTTAGAAGCTTTTAGACTTATACTATTTTATACTGACTGCTCATAAAAAGCTGTAGGCCTACCTATAAAATTAATTACAATTATTATTATTATGCCTCCTAAATGTAGTATGAAGTAGGGTAATCTATCGTTTTGGGTACGTAAAATCGCCCGCGGCTATTAATGTACGAAAACGTTATCTCATTGTCAAGGCTGTAATAGAAGTATATTGTGATATGTTTGTGTCAAATATTATAGATAAATGAATAATAAACCTAAATCAATGGCTAAATATATCAACATAGGCCCGAAATTAACTTTAAACAACAGTGTCTGCAAGCAAGATTTGCTATATAAACAGCAGCCATTTGTAAAATAGAGTGACTTCCGCCTGAATCTTGCGCTATAAGTCTATAAAAATAAAACTTTAACAAGATGGCTACTATAGTAAATGAGCATGGTTGCATGTGTTGGAAACATCGCTGGTGTTCATTTATTACTAAAAAGTTTTAATTCAATTGTTTAGAAACAGGTACATAAATGAAACAAGGAAACATTTTTGTATTTTTCAAAACATAAATCTTCCTCAAAATGTGAAATAATTATTAAAATGTAAGGAGTCACCTGTTTTTCACATTACTAGTCGCGGGCGATTTTACGTACCTAAAACGATAGATTACCTGAAGTAGTATGTATGTAGTATGTAGGCCTAAGTCTCATCTTTTATTATTTTTAGTTGGGCCTAAAAATTTAATCAGGCCTAGGTCTATTGAATATTGATTGATTAGGCCTATACTATAGTGCCTAATTGTTCTTCTTACCTAAATTAAAAATGCTTCTCCTAGTCTATTTTATTAAAATTGTAGGTAATCACTGATTGTAGAAAACATATAACATTAGCCTCTCTGCAAAATTTAAAATAATTAGGCTGCACACTAGGCTAATTTCTAGATTCTTATCTTTTTTAGTCTTAGACTGATTTGATCTTAGTGAGTGTAACTTCAGACAAGTATTTCAGAACATCCATAACTTTGTTTTCAAAGCAGTAACAGACAAGGAGACATTAGTAATAAAATTAATTTTTCAGTGAACTAGGGCTAAGGTATTTTTACTCACTGTATTCATATCCCTGATTACAAGACATTTGTATTCATTAATTAGCCTACCCATTTATTTGTATAATAAGTATTGCCTATAATGTGTAGAATAATATGGTAAAAACCCTTGGAGTTAGGGTCAGATTTTTAGGGGTTTTGCCAAGTCATAAGTAGACCACTATATTATTATCAGGTATGTAAGTTATTTATCCTTCTAGTTTTAGGGTTTAAAAAAAAGTAAAGTTCCTAGAAATCCAATGAACAGATGAGGTATTGTTCAGGTTTTTTTTTTTACCTCGGCATATGAAGAGATGGTGTGGTCAGCACTTTATCAGTATTAAGGTACTTGTTAAATTTTGTTTTCCTGAAATATTTTATATGAGCCGACCCGCGCGTATCATACGTCGCTATTTAGTTGTTTTTTTTTCTACTTTCAGTAATTCATAATTTGTGAATTCGAAAGTACCAATGCTGCAACTGAAAATATTTGCTTTAAAACACTATCAGTAGGTCGTTAAGGACGATACCCCCCTCCTTTCCCCCAACCCCTACCCTACACCCCCCCCCCCCCCGTGAAAGCAGCCTCCTCTTAGTTACCTCCCCTAAGTTTAAAATCGTTTCAAACTAAATTATCTGCCCCTAATAGCCGTCACTAAACCCAGCTCTATGATTGTAAACATTTAGCATGAACCACAGCTCACCAGGCCATGTGGGGGTGGGGATGGTAGGGAAACGCCTAGAGAGGAAGAGAGGGGCCTGCTAAGCGCTTACAGCTTGGTGTTTTCTAGGGTATCTAAGAAGAGAATTATATATATAGATTCTCAATGTTTGGTGCTTACCATGATTCTCAACATCTCAGTTAATGAATTACTTTTTTTTAATGATCCTGTGTTGTCATGATGACGTTATATAATTACCACCTAAAATATAGTTACCATCAAAAGTCTAAAGGAATTAAAAACTGTTTAGCACCTTAAAAGATAATAATTTCATCCACTATGTTTTAAGTTTTAGTGCTTTAATCAATAGCAATAATTTTATTGCTTTGAATGAACACTACAGATTTTTATGAAATGCCTCAGATAATTATTGTTGACATGGATGCAAAAAAAAAAATTCTATTTTACCTTCACGGCAGGCGTGAAGAATATTATCAACTTTTTTTTTTATTTCAGAAGTTTGATATTCTAAGAATCAATGTTATAAAAGTTGCAATACAGAACTTGAAAATATATTTTTGCAGTTATAGTTACATTTCTATTTATTGTTATCAAGACAAAATTTTAACCTGAAGCTTCACTTTAGTAAAACTAACTTTTTAAATTTTGTTTAGTTATAAAAAAAAAATACAAAAATCAAATTTTTCTGTAAAACCCATAAAATCAAGGATTTATCAAGCACCTTCATTTTAATAACACTGCACACGATTTTTTAAATATTTAATGGAACTTTCACAACTTTTCAATTGAAAACACTGAAACACTTAGACTAACAATAGTGACTAGGTTTCAGATTAATTTGAAAGATTATTTTTATATATCAAGTATCGTGATTATGCCTGCTTAAAATTTTACTAAATTTCTTAATTGATGTACTTTATTTTTTCTTCTCCATAGTTGTTTTTGGTTAGTATTGGATTTAAAACTAGCATTGAAAAAGTATTTTTAAAATATTTTTTTTAAATTTTTTACACAATTCAAATTTTGTTTAGCCATCTATTTAACCTGAATGGGACTTTTTTATATGTAAAAACAGATAGTATATTAACCTGTTCTTTTATCAAATTCTTAACAGCCAAACTGCTGAACAGTTAATAGCAGAATCAGGATGTGCTTTAGAACACCCAACTGCTGCTAGATTCAGGGCTCATGTTATGGATGGTGAATGGGAAAAGGTCTTTATTTTTTATTGCGTTTTTTTTTAAATATATTCCTATTTAGATTTATGAATAGATATAATCAGAAATATTTTTAGCTTACATTGTTTGATTTTTCTTTTTTCAGACCGAAGAAGATCTTCATGAGTTGGAATCGCTTGTCAAGGGTGGCAAAGGAGATGTTACTGTAAGATTTCCTTTCACATAAATCTAATAATGCGATGTTGTCACTAACAGTTATATTTAACTTATAATAAATATAATTTCAAAGTTATACTAAATAATATAATGTTTTTAAATACAGTGCATGAAGTTGAGCTTGCCTACTTAATAACTTGTAAAGCTAAAGCTTTTACATAGATTTCAGTAAAAAAAAAATTAAAATTAACCTTAGAATAATTAGAAAATTTAAAAGATTTAAAATTATATTACTGATAATATAAAATCTATGGGACGGCATGGCCTAGCATAGAGAGCTAGACTGCTAACCCGAAAGGCTCTAGTTTTTAAATCCAGGTTCAAATCAGTTGAATGTCCCTGAGACCACCTAGCTCTGATGGGTACCTAACTCATGTTAGTGAAAACAAAGGTGGCAGGACATAGTGCTGACCACACTTGAACTCTACTTCATCCACCCCATGTGTCTTGGTCACGAACGTGAAAAGAAGATGAATATAAAATCTAATTGCAAACTAATTATTTCAGTCACTTAAAACTTTCTTTTCAATTATGTTTTAGTAATTTTCATATTATATAACATGTAATAACAATTTTTCTTTTAATTGATCAGAAAATGAGATTTCTGCTCTTGGAACAGAAATATTTAGAACTGTTGGAGGATGGAGTTCCGTTAAAGGCCCTCGATTGTCTGAGATATGAACTAACACCATTAAAGTATAACACAGAGAGGGTGCATGTCCTTAGCACGTATGTGATTCTCTTCTCATAAATATATATTTCATTTCTTTTTTTTTACCTTTATTGAACTAGTTAGTATTAATTTAAATAAATAGTTTAAGAAAATTAAGAGTAATGCAAAATTGCAATTTCCTAAATGCAATAATTACTCTCAATTTGGGCCTATCAGGGCTAGTACATGTTACACATCAAGATTTGTTGTCAAGTTCCATCTTTTAGTTATTTCAATTTTTAACAAATTCTTGCGTTGAATTAAGCTTTCAGTTTCTGTACGCTTCTTGATTTTCATGGTCATCATCTTTTCACTTTTCTGCCTAAGGCGTATGGGGCTCCCTTTACTTTTGTCAGTCTTCTGCAATTTTCCTGACAGTCTCCCAAGACCTATTTCCTTATGATTTCAAGATCAGTTCTTCCTTTCTACAGAATTTTCTCTAGAACTGTTAGTTACCTTTGTTTTGTTTGAGTGCAAGTTAAATCTGTTTTATTTAATGGTGTTTTTATATGTAGAAAGATGATTTTTTGTTTTGTCTACTGTACAGATACATGATGTGCAGCAGTGCTGGGGAACTAAGAGAGAGTTCTAAATGGGAAGGTAAAGGTGCTGCTAGTCGACAAAAACTTATAGAAAACTTGCAAGGTAAGGCTCAAGTTTTTTGTGAATAAATAGATCTCATGTTTCAGTTAAAACTTTAAGATTAGACATTAAATCATTATGTTGTTCAGCCATGTAATGGAATTACTTGTATTGTGAATGTTTCTGGTATTTATAAATGAAAATGTTTGTTTATCTTTGGACTAGAAACTAAATACTGTGTATTGGGACATTAATTTATGAAGACATTAACCTGAAAACTGTAAATTTAGTAACTGGAAAGGTAGGATGTCACTGTGTCCACCTAGCCCTGGGGTATTTGACACAAGCCAGGGAAAGTAGAGGCTATTTCGCCTTCCCCATCAACTATTGCATCTGAAATGGAACTTTACTCACTTAATTATTATTATTTAGCATCATGCAAAATAGTAATTGTTAAAACTTGTGTACTGTTTTAGAATTCCTACCACCCTCCATCATGCTCCCTCCACGTCGCCTATTCACTTTGCTAAGCCAAGCTGTTGAACAACAAAAAGAGAAATGCCCGTACCATAACACCCAGCTCGACTCTGATCTCTCTTCAATATCCTTGCTAATGGACCACATTTGTACCAAGTATATTCACTTTTTCTTTATGAGAAATATTTAACAAGCACAATTAATCTAAAGAGATTTATATTTCTTTATTCCAAAAGTTTTATATGCGCTTTTAAGGTTTTCTTGATAATTAAGAGAAGATGTGACTGATTTTTTTTTTTTGAGTCTAAGCCAAAGAAACCAATTTACTTTTTTAAAGATGTTTGATGTTTGTCTTTTAGAGAGCAGTTTCCAAATGTAACAACCCAGGTATTAGAGCACCAGGATGAAGTCTGGCACTGTCAGTTTTCTCCTGATGGCACACGGCTAGCCACTGGCTCTAAAGATAACAAGCTTATCATCTGGGATGTAGATATTGTAAGTCTATACAGCTTTTTGACTTAGTGCATAGCTTCATTGTATTGGAAATCTATAAGTACCTTTTATACATTTTCAAGGAAGCTTGTTTCTGTTGAAACAAAGTTTTTTCAGTTCATACAAAGGATTGTGTGTATAAGCCTGTCCAGCTATCAAAAAAAAGATTTAGCAAATACTACTTATTTCTGAATTTTTTAGAAAAAATAGTATGGTATTTATATGCTATGCCTTGTCTCCTCTGTTTCATTATTTTTAATACATCTTTGAGCCCTCCTTATATTGAGTAATTTATCCAACTCTATGAGGGTTTTTTTTAATCTGCTGTCAATTGCTTTTTATATATAATTAACTTGTATTTACTTTCAGTGTCATTGTATAGCAGTTAAAAACTAACAAATCTATTCTGAGATTAAAAATTTTGTCCTAAACAGATCTACTTTGAGGTGAAAAATCCAAGAACACTTGATGAGCATAAATTTGGAGTTGGTTTTGTCACATGGTGTCCAGATAATACACATATCCTTGTGTGTGGTCCTGATGAGACCAATGAAGTGTACATCTACAATGCTGTTGTAAGTAGATTATGCTGCATCACTTTGGTCACTGTGTTCAGCTTCTTAGTCATATAAATGAACAAAAAAATGTATTTTATATAGGTTTGATCTGTAAGGAATTAAAAAATATTTTCTCATGGTATATTATTACTAATTTAAAATATCAGTGGAGTTGCTACAAGGGTTGGAGTGGTGTATTCAGCATTAGAATGAGTTTTATAGTAATTTGTTTAGCCAGTAAATGTTATGTCTTAATTTTAGAACTACATTAAAAAAAATGTTCAGGTGCATTGTGGTAACTCAGTGCTTTTGTCCCTTCAGGGCATTAGCACACAGTAAATTTACATGCTGATTGTGAATTACGCCATTGTTTATTATGTGTTTTCTTCTTTAAGTAACTAACTTTGTTTTTGGTTGATGGTTGTTTCAGACTGGAGATGTGAGACAGCGTATCCACCAAAACACTGATGACAGTTTAACATATGCAGCATGGATGCCTGATGGTCGCAAGCTTGTTGTGGGAGGTGTCAGGGGACAGTTTTATTATTGTGTAAGTCGGTAGATACCAGGCTACTTTGAACATACGTTCACTGTTGAATTAAACTATGCATCAGAGATTCATTATATTTCTTACAGAGATTCATTATATTTCTTACAAACAGAGATTCATTATATTTCTTACAAACAGAGATTCATTATATTTCTTACAAACAGAGATTCATTATATTTCTTACAAACAGAGATTCATTATATTTCTTACATACATAATTATTGTTTTTATACATTAGAGATTTTTGTGATAAAATAGAAATCCTAGACTCCTCAATGTTATAGACTTGTTTTTATAAGTACTTTATTTTGATCATAGTCTCATTGCATTTATTAAACAATTGTGTTAGATCATGTAGGAAATCATTTTGGTACAAACACAACACTAAGTTATTTTAAAATTTCTGTTGTTAAAACTATTTTAACAGTTCAAGATTTAAAATATTTCTGAGAAAATGCAGATGTATTGTACTGGCCACTGTTTGACATTGTTTAGGACATAGATGGTAATGTGATTGACACATGGGAGGGCATTAGAATCCAGGGACTCGCAGCTCTAGATGACAAAGTGGCTCTGGCGGCAGACACACACAATCGCATCAGAGGGTATAACTTTGACACTCTTCAAGACTTTCCTATGTGAGTAAATCGTTGTTTTCATTCTCTTAGATTATGTTCTTTATTTATATGATGCAAAATTTGGCATAAGAATTAAAAGAAACAGAATTCTATACCCCAGGTTTGATTAATGGTTTGGTCTTTTTAATTTTGAGTGTTATACTTTCATGTGTAATGCATGACCTGTTAAATCTAATAGTTAATAATAATGAATTCTTAAACTAATAAATAAAAATAAGTACAAACCAAGTCTAAGGGGAGAAAAAAAACATTCACAACACTTTTTCTGAATGTAATGGTTTTCTTTTTATTTATTTTTTAAAATCTATATGATTTTTCTATAGCATACAAGAAGACCACCCAATTATGACATTTGTTATAGATGAAAAAAAAGAACTAGCTTTAGTCAATGTAGCTTCTCAGGTAATATATTTTTTGTTTGATATAAATTTTCCATTTTCTGGTGTTAATATGATTGTCTTGTACCTTGTTTTAAATGCAAATGTTTAGAACAAGTGTGAAAATAATAATATAATTGTTTTTTGGTTGAATTTGTGATATTTAGTACATTCAAGAATTTTTTTTTAAATTGCTCACCTTTGAGAAGCTAACTTACAAACTTTTTTACATGGTAAGCTACAAAGTCAGGCTGTTGCTCTCTTTCTTAGGGATGTCATTTGTGGGACTTAAAAGACAAAGTACTTCTACGCAAGTTTCATGGCCAGACTCAGGCATTTTTTACCATCTACTCATGTTTTGGGGGCCTCAATCAAGACTATGTTGCCAGTGGGAGTGAAGGTATTTTCTTACGACAGTTTGAAAGCACATCCATATCCTCCACATCTCCATATTCTGTTTTTTTTTTATATAAATTTCTAGTTAAAAAGAATATAGATACATGCTTATTACACAAGGTTGCTTCTAGTTTGAATAATCTAAATAAGTAAAATCATGAATAGCTGAATGCTTTTTATAGATGAGGGAATTGTATTTTATTTTTTGTACTCTCTCAACAAGTTATATTTTCTATAGGCTACTTCTGCTTCAGTGTGATCCAGTATTTTTTAATTTTACAAATTTCTTTTAATTATTATCTTTAATCACTGTACAAGGTATTGATTTTTCTTTACCAATTCTCTCCAGTTTAAAATAGAATTATATACTTGGGAATTAATATATTAATATAAACAAATACATATAATATAAAGAAATCCATGTATGCATTGTTTTTCTCCTCTCTCCCTGCCTCCACAATAGACCACAAAGTGTTCATATGGCACAAGCGCAGGGAAACACCTGTGGCAGTGCTGGAAGGTCACAGGATGACTGTGAACTGTGTCCACTGGAATCCTGCAGAACCAAGCATGCTGGCCAGTGCATCTGATGACGCCACTGTCAGAATATGGGGACCAAAAGACAAGCTGGAGAGGAAAAGAAAAGGTCAGTCACCTGTTTTACCTTTAGTCTTGTGCCAGTCATAGATTTCATTACTTGTACTTGTGATAACATTTTGTGTATCACGTTTTGATGTAAGGAAACATAACGAACTTTTGCAATGGATTTGAGATTTTTTTTAAAATTATATATTTTATTAACCTCCTTTATTATTGGTTGTGAACTTGGTTGAAAAGGATTATTAAGCAATAATTAGCAATTGATGATAAATTTGTTTTACTTCATTACTTACATAGATGTACAGAAAATAATGCACAAATATTTGTAGCACTAAGATTAAATTGGTTGTATGTTATATGATTATTAAGTGCCATAATTTTCCCCAAGGGACACACCACATCTTCTCAATATTTAATAAAAATCTATGCTTAGCTTAAAAATAGTTAATTTTTATTTTTGCATAATTTAGTTGACCATTTGATTTTGTTTATTAACAGATAGTTTCACAAGCTCTGGTCGTAGCTCCCCTGTATGACAATTGATGTAGCCTCTATGTAGGTACAGTATTTCATCTCTCCACCGACACGCCATCATCATTCTGTAAAGTTAATTCACGATGAATTTGTTTTTAAATTAAGAAGAAACAAAATAAAACACGAGCTTGTGTCAAATTTCTTGTGTTAAGAAGAAAGAGCTTAAAGCTGCCTGGGAATAATAGGATGAACTCACTAATGGTTTATGAAATCAAATTAAGTTGATAATCAGATAAACTATCATTTGAAATGGACACCATTCATTTTAAAAGTTTCATGAACCCAGGCCTAACCAGTGTTTTCTTTTCCATCGCTGCAAAATGATAAATTTTAATAAACATGCCATTTTAATCAAACATTTGGCAAAATCATCAATTTTTAATCAAGTTTCTTGTAATAAATTTTTTTTTAAATATTTTACTCACATCTTTCAGTGTTTGATCAACTGCCATGTTTTTTTTGTTCAAACATTGTCATGATGGTACAATTTTCTCTGTGAAAATTGTAGTTACTGTAGATAATTCTGTAGGGTTAGTTTTATCTCAACAATGGTTTACTGTGACTGTGAGGTATGATTCTTGAAGCTAAATTTTAATATAAGAAATGGATGTAATTTATTTATTTACTGAATGTGCTTAATCCACTCATCATTGATCATACCGTATTTCTTTTTTTATAATAGTCTTAGTTTTTATCGGCATTAAGGTGATGTATCACATTAACATGCGTCTTCTCACTTTTTGTAATAAATCAATGTCAATTTGAATAACTTGGTTATTTTTTTTTTAAATAATGGTGGGTACATAAGAAAAAAAATATTTTCTGTAGATAAGAACTTAACTTCTTTAGCTGCTATAAAATTATTAGTTGACATTGAACTGTGTAAAATAATGAAGTGATTATATCATTTTGTTTCTATCATTGTTTTGCAATTTATGATGCTCATTGTATACTGGTGGGCTTGCACAAAAAACACAGAGCAAATGTACTTTAATTAATTGATTTTAATACCCAAATAATGCAGCCAACTAAAAAATTTAATTGCTTCTTTTAAATTTACCCAACCAATTAACCTCCATTTTTCCCTTTTTTTTTATTTAAATAAACACAATGTCAATTAAGTCAGCTTTTAAATTGTAAGACATACCCAAATTTTAAAAAGCTATTAGGACTGCATATTGCAATGTGAATTATTTATAGTGTGCTCATTACTTAACAAAAGAGTGGCTCAACAATTCCAGTCAAATAATGCCATCCCCAGCTTTGTCCTGTGTTGTTTTTCTACTTTGATTATACTTCTGTTTTCAATCTGATCATTAGCTGTTGTTTTTCTTACCTTTATTAGTATCATTCAAACGGTTTGAAATAAGAATGTTATAATGTATTGTATTTCAGCCTGAACTATTCCTTAATGAAATGCTAGATCTCATACCTACCTCTCATTGCTACTTGTCCATGCTTAACTCATGATTGGCTTAATGAAATGATTGTGAATGTGCTGAATATTTCTGTTTATTTTTCTTTCATTATCACTCAGCTGGGGTTTTTTTTAAGGTTATTTTTGTTTTATTAATTAGCTAAACAAAAAAAATGTCCTGTCCAGTATATTAATGAAACATTTTGTTACTAAGAAATTATATGATTAACCTAAAAATAAGAGACTCATGAAAAGTAAGCTTCAAATTATTGTGTATTTACACTAAAAAAAAATATTTCATAAATTTTTGGAAATATTTATTTTTGAATGATAAATGACAAAAAGAAAAGTACAATATCCAGATCTTTTTCCTCTGGCACAAAGTACCTATTTGTATTTTAAATCAGGCTAGGTTATTGTCTAATAATAGATGTCTAAGGGGAATCTTATGAAAAACCAAACACCTTACTAAGGCATACCCACCACTTCATTTCTAGGTGAATTTTCTCCAAAGTTCTGCTGACAAATGAACCTTTAAAATACTATATATACCCTTTTCCTTCTGATAAAAAAATATATGAAGCAACTGATATTAAATATCAATTGTAATTTGTACACTTAATCTAATCCAGAATACTCTGTTTAATGCAGTGGATCAAAAGTCCCCCCACCCTTTTTTTAAAATATAAGATGTTGCTTCTTTCCAAAGAAGCTACTGATTATATTTATTATTCTTTCAACTTTAATGCATAAATTATTTAACCAAATAATGTATTTTTTCCTCTGTCAATTTAAATATATGCACTACTTGTTTGTAAAAAACAAAAACATAAAGTGGTAAAAAAAAAACATTTCTGTTCTCAGTGCCTTAAGTGCTTGTGTTACCTCTAGCAGAAAGTAGAAGGAAATAGGTAGTTCAAATATATCTAAGGGAACAGTGTGATTAAACTGTCATGGGAATTAACCAAGTGCTAGACTTTCATATGATTTTTCCTTTTTTTTTGGTTTTTTGCATTTTATTTTAGTCTAAAGCCTAGAGTTGATGCGAATCTGGATAAAATGTCTTCAAGCTTACAATTTTTTTTTGCTGAATCCTCTTGATGTGGGAAGAAATTATATCCATGGGTAAAAAATCTTAATAATTATCTAGCATTTGAAACCCCATCATCACATTTAAAAAAAACAATACCAGCAATATTTGGATGTTTAATTCACATTCCACTTTTTAAATTTCTCCACAATCATTGCGAAAGATAGTGAGTGATCTTTTCCACTGTAACATTAAACATCTTCACTTTTCTAAAGCATCTAAAGTAAAGAGAAGTTTTTTAAATGGGCAAAGTTGTTTTTTTTTTTCACATTTTATAAATGTAACTAAGATAGCTTAGAATGGTAGAACACTTTAGGTGGGGCGTACATTGTGATAGACATCACCTTTCTATGATCTTTTTATTTACAAAGATGTCAAATGGACATTCTTTTCACCAAGTAAATGTTACATTTCAAATGAAGGCTGTCCAAATATTGTCGATTTTATCTTTCTTATTATGTATGCCATGCAATTTTTAATATTAATGCCAATATTACAATAATGGATTAAAAAAAATAGATTACAGTTTAAATTTGACATTTTTTGTACATAATTTATTTTAATTCAGTATCTGTTTATAAACATGCTGTGGTATTATTTTTTCTCAAAGTGTCTTGTTATTGAATGCAAGTGTCACATTAAATAATTTCAACAAAAACTATGTTTTGGTAGGTTGTTGTGGGGATTAAACCATTATCTACATATACTTTTGACATACATATTTTACCAGCATTCAGTTTTGTCCAATTTAGATGGATCATGGGATGTGAAGTATTTTCAGAGATATTTTTAAAAGACAGGAAGAACTTTTTTTTTACTTCTGGTTTGTGTTGTAGGTTCATTTAAAGAAATAATTTTATGTGGGAATTTTACCTAGCTCAAATTGATTAGCATTTTTAAAAATTTGGATGCAGATGCAGTTTATATGCAAATATTTGCCAAAAATAAGTATCATCTCTCTAGACAATATTTTGGACTAAAAGTATTTCATTGTTAAAGAAGTTGGTGAATGTTGTATTGATATTTTTATTCCTCTGTAAAATGAACAAGATAAAAGATGTGTTAATTAACAAATCATTTGATTGTGACCACCTAGAATTATTTCTTTTTACAATATCAATAAGCACATGATGAAAGATGTGCCCTCCCCTACACAAACAAGTTAGTGACTGGGTAATTACCTGGGGAGGAAGGGGGTGGGTGTAGTTAAAAATTACCTTGTTTTCTCTATAACTCTGTAGCTTATTTATTTTATTTGAAATTTGTCAATTTCTTTTTTTTATTTATGTGAATTTTGAAGTCTATGCATTCATGTATTTTGTATTACAAGATGATGGTGAACCATTTCTAAAAATCTTAACCTGAACTCCAAGCAATTATTATTCTAATCCAGATACAATCTGTCTCTGGCTGCCAATGTTGTAGGTTTTGAATGGCTTCCATGAAAACAATTTTTAAGTTCTTTAAGCTAAGTGTAATTTTTCAGAAACCAATATGCATCCCCAAGCTAACTAAATCAATATGTCTTATCATTTAAAAAGCTAAAAATAAACTCTTCTGTGCACTTATGTTTAAAATGTGACAGAATTCCCTTCCCTTAGTTTTACCATTTCATTCAAATGCATCACTGTATTGTTGTGAAGGGATATATATGTATATATATTGTAATTTTTATTTCCGGAAGATTACTATGATTGTACAGTTTCATGTGTGTAATGGTGAATAAGAAAAGATCATTTGCATGCACTTGGATTTTATAAAAATCTTGTATCTGTTTGTGTTGTCCATTAGATGAGTGTGTTGTGACTTCTCTGTATACTCCCATTTTTATTTCATAAGATTGCCTTCTATAAATGACAAATAAACTAAATGATGTAGCAGAGAAGGTTTTTTTTTTATTTATAAATTGGTTTAAACTAAATTAGCTGGAGACTAATAATTCACTTCTTATATATTAGGGGTATATTAAGCTGTAAATTTCATGTAATAAAGTTTCCCTTTTCATAATGGTCTATAGGGCAGATGAAATTCATCTATTTCTGTGATCTTCGCATTTAAAAGGATAGTATGGTCAGCACTATGCCCATTTGGCCTCAATTAAGTTGGATCATAAATTACATGAAAATGTAGCAATATTATAGAGACAAGTACCCTAATTACCATCCTTCTCTCTCCCCCCCCCTATTGCTAAATAACAACTTACAAGACACTTACTGTAATACCACACTTTTATTAACAGATTATGTTTTAACAAAACTTTGAGATATGAAACAATTAAAAATTTCTTTAATAAAAGAGATATACAGATAAGACTACAATTTTTTAGGTGAACTAAGAACAAGATGCTATTTTTATAACTTTGAGTAACGGAGTTTTAAAAATCATATTTGAATGGATTTTATGAAGACCTTATAAGCTTATCCATAAATGAACTTAGAATACAAAATGTAGTACGATAGAAATATACTTAATGTGATCAATGCATTGCAATTGAGGAAAATGAAATACAACATTCTACAACAATGACATATTGCACTAATAGTTCTTTATGTTATGAAAAAGTATCACTAGTACAAAGGCTGTAAAAACTGGTATTTGCTATGGTTATCACTCACATATAACAATTTAATGAAAGCTTTATTTAAAACAATTTTAGAATATCAAGCCATTAGTAATAAATATGGAAAATGAAGTATGATTGAATTCAGTCAGACTATATAAATAATCTGCTTGGCTTGTATGATTAGAAGAAAAGTAAAGCTTTAATAATGGCAGGATACATAGTAATAGTGAAAAACATTCTCATCTGGTGGATTTTTTTATATTGTATAACAATGGCACATTTCAAATCTTTAAAAAAAATACTCAGCCATACAGCGATATATGAATTTTAAAATATTGAGCAAAATTGTAATAATACACTTAGATATTGTTTCTAATTTTTAATGTTTGAAACAACAGTTTAAACTTGTATTCAATAACAAGCTAAAGTTAGGGAGATAAATGATATGTCAATTAAAGTTTCATTATAATAATGTGACCTATTTTCAAATATCATAGTACTTTCCTCTAAAAAATGAAAGTAGAAAAATTTCAATGCTTTGTAGTGATGTCATATAAGAATGCTATAATTTTTAAAAATAATTTTAAACAAAGCAGTTTTACTGTGATATGTATTAAAAAATTCTAAATTTATATGAAAAAAAAAGAAAGTAATAAATGACAATACATTTTTATTTACATAATTTGTGTATCATTGTTATCAATTAAAAAAAGTTAAAAATAGCTGATAATAAAGTGAAACACTTTTCTTTCTATGTATTGTATTCTAACATTCACAACAAACACAACTGATATAAATTAAGTACTTCATGCAAATTTGAAAACTATATTGATAAATTTGTTAAACCTTCATATTACTATCAAAAATATAGAATTTTCTTTTGCTATGTATTGCTTCCTAACAATGGCCTTAATGCTCTAACCCTAATCCTTATCCTAACCATGATGGTGATATTAGTAGATGAATTTCTGTTATTGTATTGTAATAGTGCCTTTTTCATGAAAACCACTGAATTATAGCCAATTATTTCTTCCAAAATATTTTTATAAAGTATAAGCTTTGCAATAGTCAAATGCCTAATACAGCCAAACTTTAATTTGCAATAGTATCTTATGTAAATTAATCTATAAAAGATTAGCCTGCATTGTATTAAATACTATTATCAAAATGTTTGACAATCTGGGTAGAGTAATACAAACACTGGCTAAGTGGATAAGCTTGAACACATTATTATAAGTTTATGAATACAATACAAACACATAAAAAAATACCCTGATATGTACATATTAAGAACAACAGTTATAGCTGTGAATGTTAATTCCTTGTTCAGTGGATGGGTCAACTGGTGAGGCTCTTACAGTCAACAAAGTTGTCAATGTTTGTTCATTTTAATTACAGGAATTACTTAAAGCCTTTAATCGACCTAATACCCTTTGACTAGCGAGTAGATCATCCTGAAAAGTAAACACATAATGATTATCCTTAAAGATAAAGCATAATAATGTTTTTATTACAAAGCAACATACATACATGAGATATGACAAAAAGTGACATTCAAGCAAGCTCATCAAGTTAGATGGATCTTAAATTTTAGAAAATTGAAGTTAGTTGCGGTAAATGATTAAAAAAATGAACCGTACCAGTAGAGGAACACAAAGAAAAATACTAGATGAAAACCTAGCCTCGCTAAACTTTGCCTCATGTAAGTCTTTAAAAGCTTTTGGTTGTGAATCTCTGTGGGGTCAAACACTCCAATATTTCCTGATGGCTTCCTTAAATACCTGTTAGAGAAATAAAAAACAGTTTGTTATGTTATTCTTGTTGAACCCTAACAAAATACAAATTAAGATAATTGGAAAAAGAAGATGGCTCTGGAATGGGCTTGTTTTAAGAATGAATACAGATTACATCACAGGAGTGGCGCTTAACTAGACACCTTAAGAAAAAAGAAAACAGAGAAGGCCAAGAGAGATGTGGAAATGCACAGCTGGGAAGCAACTGACAAAGGCAGGAATATCTTGGGGGACTGCCAAGAAAATTGCAGGAGACCAGCAAAAGTGGAAAGCTCTTTCTGTGGCAGCCCCATGTGTCTTGCTTGGACACAAGAGGGAAAAGATGATGATGAACCAGGAACTATATACAGATGCCAATTTTCTCAACTATCCCCAGGTTAAGTATTAATTTAGAACTAGTAAAGTTACTCTTAAATGATTCATACAAATGTTAAATGAACTTAAGAAGATAAATAATTCATATATATTAAGGTTCAAAGTAATAATCATAAATTTTAATACATACAAAGTATGTACCCATAGCAGTGAGTTTATTCAATTTTTGTATTTATAACCTCTAGGGGTAAACATTCAGTTTTTGACAAAAACTACTAACCTGTAAGTGAACCATGCTCCTAGAGGACAATACAGTATGAACAAAATCCAGTGTCCTAAACACAACAGTAATAGAGACAACAGATTGTGGCAAACCATCTCAACCAGAACCCACTGAAAACAGAACATTTGTATACAAAATTAAACCAAAGAAACAACTTAGTGGGATGTTTTCAAATATGAGGGATGTTATAAGACAGTATACATTATAAAAAGTTCAATTTTATATAGTTTGGTCATTTATTTTTTTTATGGCCAGTATATAAAGTTGACCACCAGAATGAAAACTCAAGCAAGGCCTTAAACAATTGAAGACGCTGTACTGAGTTAAATATAAACCCAAAACAATAATAAATAATATTTTAAACATTTTGTTTTAATAACTTTCCAGACAATTGTATGAAAACCAAATACTCACATAATTTAGCTTGTCACAGCATACTCGAGCATTCAGATAGTCACATTCAAGGTCAGAGAGAGTTATTACCTGCAACTAGTTAAGGACTTTAGAAATCCAAAAAGTTTAAAGATTTGTATTTCACATTTAGTAGCGATAAAATGTTGAAACTATTGTTTTTTTTTAAAGAATTTATTTTAAAGAAAATAGATTATTTTTAATTGTTTAAACTAACAGTTATTAAAAACCATTGAATTTATTAGTCTATTATTTTCAGATCTTAATATTGATGATAATAATATATATATATATATTTATCAATTATATACGGCATTTTCTAAAACATGAAAGTTCCAACTCCAGTTTTCAAAATGTTCACAACAAGATTTTTAAGTTTTGAATCTCATAATATTTCTACACTTGGTGAAATGAAAAAAATTATTGTGTAATAATGGTTTAGAGATATGCTTTGCCTAAAAATATTGGTGGATTTGGAAAGGTATAAAAATCTTTAAAAAAAACAAAGAAATGTTTGGTTCTGGATAACATATATATTTGTATATAGTTTTTTAATGTTTGTTAGCCTACTTAAACTTGGAATAAATTACAATTAGTACTAACAGTATTAATTTAGTATTAAACATTATCATATTCAACATCATTTTCCTGTGGAACTCTTGTGGAGCATAGGGAAACAACCACAAGTCTCCATCGTACTGTTTTGTGCAATTACTCCAAGTCAGGTCCATTATATTCAAGCTGCTTGTTCTTCCAAATTTATTTTGTTCCCCCTACTTTTGACTTTCCTCAAGGATTCCAATATAATGCCAAACTACAGATCTTAATTGTTGATTTTTATAAGATGTGTCCAATCCATCTGTTCTTTGCTATTAAGGCTTTGCCCAGTTTTTTTCCATAGTTTGAACAATTGAAGAGAACAGATTTCATGTTGCTGTTTAATGTCTTATTTTGGAAAGCATATTAACTTAACAAGCATTATACATTGTTTACAAAAGTAAAAGATGTTACAAAAGCAAACTCCCCACCTCACCAATGATGTAACAAAGTTCAGCAACCAACTTATTCATCACACTTCTACCCCCCACCCTTTTTTCAATCACCAAAATTTGAAACTATGGCCCAGTGGCAGTGGCGTAGCGAGGTCGGGTGTCACCCGGTGCGGCACTTAATGGTGTCACCCCCCCCCCCCCCCAGAGGCGTTGCGACCCTTCCCGGTGACAAACTTTCAAGTTTTCGATTTGCACCCCCCTCAAGTTTTTCTCTATATATTTTGCTATTTTTTGCCTTGGTGTCACCCCCCTAAATGGTGTCACCCGGTGCGGTCCGCACCCCCCGCCCCCCCTCGCTACGCCCCTGCCCAGTGGCATAGCTAGGTCGGGTGACACCCAGTGCACACTTTTTTGTCTTGGTGTCACCCCCCCCCTCAATGGTGTCACCAGGTGCAGTCCGCACACTCTCCCCCCCCCCCCACACCCCTATGACTTTGCTACAGCTTTTTTCTTTCTTCTCTCCCCACCCCCCTCCTCCTGTGTGTGTGTGGACAGTATGTGATTTAGAATTAACATCACTAAATCTTGTACAATTTAATTATTTTAATAGGCAACCCCCTGCCCCTTGGTCTGAAATTATTTAACTAAGTTTTAGTCTGTTTTACATTTTTAGATTTTAGGCTCTTAAGTCTTAAAGTAAATTTGTAATTTAATCTAATAATTTAATAGGTCTACTACTACTATTCAATAATTAATTATTAATTAATAATATTAATAATCATAATTGAATAATTAGTAATTAGGCCTAGCCTAATATATTTAATTAGACTATAATTAATTATTATTAATTAGACTATATCACTAGAAATAGATCTAGATCTAAATAAATAAATATAGATCTAATTAACTAATTAGCCCCCCCCCCCCCTATTAAAGTTAATAATATTAATAGGCTAATCATAATTAAAATTATTTAAATTATTAGACTATATAGGCCTACTAAATCTAGATCTATATACTAGGCCTAGACTCTATATATATATAATATATAATATATTATTATTACAGTAAAGGCAAGGATACAAAATAAACGGCTAAAAATAGCAGAGCTCCTTCGTCAAACAACGAGAAAATAAAGAGCATTCCATCGGGACCCATTTTTTTAAACCAGTGTGGGTGTAATGATAATAGCCTACAAAACAGTATTATAAAATGTAGATCTTAACCTACTAGATCTATTATTACTAGATTTCTAAATTGAATTGATACTCTAATGATCTAATCCTATTCCTCGCTAGTGTGTTAAGTTAGCGAAGATCGATTGACAACGAAGAATCACGTCCGTTCGTTGTGCTACTTTCGTTTGCTCTCCAGATTCATATTTTTAATGCACTAAAAAGTTCGTCTCAGTCAAAACGGGACCCGTCAAAACTGTTCTACTGATTTCCCAGTGTTTCTTTCAGACATTTTACTCCTGGGGGGGGGGGGGGGGGGAGCGGGGTGGGGGGGTGGGTGGAGACGATGGCACATGAATCATTCAAGGAGGGGGGGGGGGGGAGCGGTCGGGCTGTCAAAATAAGTTTTTTTTTTCTTCTTTTTCTTGGGGGGGGGGGGGGGGGGGGGGAGATTCATAAAAGATTATAACGATGATATGATATAGGTCTACGACCTTTAATTTTTCTGTTGAAGGTCCTAAACTTAAAAATACATTTAAAATAGTTCGGTTTGCAGAAAACTACAATGGATTCACTACAACCTTCAGCGTTTACCTATCCAGTTTCAGTTATAGACTACGCATTTTATTTGTTAAATTAATTTTAACTATAGGCCAAAACTACACCCTCACACACACAAAACATACCGCTAGCAACGTTTTGCTACCAGTGTTTCTTCCAGACTTTTTTCTCCGGCGGGCCTTGAAATTTTCTTGGAGGGGGGTGGACTAAAATTTCCGGGAGGGGGGGGGGGGCGGACACTGTTAAAAGTATATATTTTCTATTTTCTATATACATTCCATTTCGCCTTTCCCCCCCCCCCCCCCCCTCCGAAGAGATGCCTGGAAGAAACTGTTTACTACACATGAATAAATATCCACCTCTTAAGAACATTATGAAGGGTAAAGCAGCTGGTAGAATCCCACCCGAGGCACTATCTGTCGAGAACTGCAGTACCCACTACACCATAGGTTCTGAGAACAAGAGCTTGAAGCTGAGACACCAGCGAAGAAAGGCGAACTTCATAAATGCAACAATTGGAGAGAATGAAATTTAAGCCATTGGCAAGAAATTAAGACAAGAGCAGGCAATTTAAGTTTCTACAAAAACACGTCGTGTACTGACCACATAACTATAGTGAGTGACAATCCCTCTCTATACAAGCCTTTATAGTTGATTTTTGTTTAGGCGTTTGATAGCGTAGACAGATAGGTCGTTGATGAACCCCATATGGCATCCCTCCGAAATTCGTAAACATTATCCAACACCCGGGTTCGAGTTCGCCGGAGACATTATATTGGAACCACAAGATAAGGAGGGTGATGTGGGTACGCAGAACAGTAGCGTAGCCATGAGGATCGTCTCATGGGGGGGGGGGGGGGGTCAAATTTTTACCCGGGGACAAACTTTCGATTTGCACCCCCCCTCAAACTTTCGATTTGCACCCCCCTCAAACTTTTTATTTGCACCCCCCTCAAACTTTCGATTTACACCCCCCCCCCCCTTATACTTTATATATATACCACTGACGCAGAAACACACTTTTAAAAAATATATTTTCAGTGAAGCACAAGTTCGGATTGTACTGGACCAAGTTGGATGAATCGACAAAAACCAAGAGCTCAACATAGGCCTAAATGACGATTATGAGAAGGGCGTTGAAGTCCACGCCAAATGCATTGCCGCTGTATGCAGAATTGTAACCTGCTACTTTCGTCAAAAATTCTTTTTTAAATATAGATTTTTAAAATTGCATTAACTCGCGTATTTTTTGCCTTTAAGTTGCTTGTCTTGCAAAGGTGTTTCAATAAAATACATTTACGATGGCTACATATCAAAGGCAAATAGTATTGCGGTATACCATCACCCCATTCCAAAACAGCATACTTCATTGTGTATAACATAGTTTCTTCCAGGCATCTCTTCGAAGAAAGTCTACCGGTCCCTCCCCCCCCCCCCCGAACGAGATGGAATTTATATAGTAAACATACACTTTTACTAGTGTCCGCCCCCACCCCCGAAAAATGTTTACCCCCCCCCCCCCCCCGAAAATATAAAGTGCCCCCCCCCCCAGTGGCGGAACTAGAAAAAAATGGCCCCCCCGCAAAAAAATTTTTTAGGCCCCTATATATATATATATATCTATATGTATATATATGTATATATATATATATATATATATATATATATATATATATATATATATGCGGCACTTAATGGTGTCACCCCCCCAGAGCCATAGAGACCCTTCCCATGGACAAACTTTCAAATTTTCGATTTGCACCCCCCCCTCAAGTTTTCGATTTGCACCCCCCCCCTCAAACTTTTTATTTGCACCCCCCTCAAACTTTCGATTTACACCCCCCCCCCCCTTATACTTTATATATATACCACTGACGCAGAAACACACTTTTAAAAAATATATTTTCAGTGAAGCACAAGTTCGGATTGTACTGGACCAAGTTGGATGAATCGACAAAAACCAAGAGCTCAACATAGGCCTAAATGACGATTATGAGAAGGGCGTTGAAGTCCACGCCAAATGCATTGCCGCTGTATGCAGAATTGTAACCTGCTACTTTCGTCAAAAATTCTTTTTTAAATATAGATTTTTAAAATTGCATTAACTCGCGTATTTTTTGCCTTTAAGTTGCTTGTCTTGCAAAGGTGTTTCAATAAAATACATTTACGATGGCTACATATCAAAGGCAAATAGTATTGCGGTATACCATCACCCCATTCCAAAACAGCATACTTCATTGTGTATAACATAGTTTCTTCCAGGCATCTCTTCGAAGAAAGTCTACCGGTCCCTCCCCCCCCCCGAACGAGATGGAATTTATATAGTAAACATACACTTTTACTAGTGTCCGCCCCCACCCCCGAAAAATGTTTACCCCCCCCCCCCCCCGAAAATATAAAGTGCCCCCCCCCCCCAGTGGCGGAACTAGAAAAAAATGGCCCCCCCCGCAAAAAAATTTTTTAGGCCCCTATATATATATATATATCTATATGTATATATATGTATATATATATATATATATATATATATATATATATATATATATATATATATATATATATATATATATATATATATATATATATATATATATATATATATATATATATATGCGGCACTTAATGGTGTCACCCCCCCAGAGCCATAGAGACCCTTCCCATGGACAAACTTTTAAATTTTCGATTTGCACCCCCCCCTCAAGTTTTCGATTTGCACCCCCCCCCCCCCTCAAGTTTTCGATTTGCACCCCCCCCTCAAACTTTCGATTTGCACCCCCCCCCCTCGAGTTTTTCTCTATATATTTTTCTCTTTTTTGCCTTGGTGTCACCCCCCTAAAAGGTGTCACCCGGTGCGGTCCGAACCCCCCGCCCCCCCCCCTCCGAAAATTTCAAGTGCCCCCCCCCCCCCGAAGAAAAAAGTCTGGAAGAAACACTGCCAAAGACCAACCCATATTATAACCGAATATAACCCCTCCCCGTTACGGGCTAAACATGAAATTAAACATTAATACATTCAAAGGTGATATAGATCTTTTGGTTGTTTTTAGGCTTAAAAGCTAGATCATTGTATCCTAAATTTGATTAACTTTAATGTATTTAGTGTTAATAACTAATGTTCAATTAATACGTGTACTAATTATAAAACAATTAATAATATAAAGACGAGCCTTACCTTCCTTGTTGTGTGAATTAGACTCGTCAACAAAATACTTCATCAGGTAAATGAACAACTACTGACTAGTGTCTTTAACAAAATGTGCAGAAGTGGTCAGTTTACAGTTCAGTAGTTCATAGACGGTTCGTTAATCTATGCATTACATCTTACTGTAAGAGTAAGGGTGTGGTGAGGGGTAGAGGTGAGGGGTAGGGGTGAGAGGGGGGTGAGGGGGGAGGGGTGAGAGTTGGGAAGGTTCAAGGGAAGGGGACTAGAAAGTGCCGATAAACATCTACATCAATAGTGCCGACTTTTTCCGGTCGTCTAGAAGACCAGAATAGTCGCCGCAACATTTCCCCAGCCCGATTTCAAAGCGTGCCGGCAAAAACTTCAGATGCTTCGCTAAAGGGAGATAACTTAAACTTTCACAAGTTTATTGATACAGTTGTTAAAGTAAAAATGAACGCAATTATAAATGTATGACACACAATCATATATATATATATATATATATATATATATATATATATATATATATATATATATATATATAATAATGTAAACAATATAACAATCCTTTTTTGTTCTCCTAATCGACGCCACTAAAAGTAAAAAGATAGGCTACGTCTTTGAAGTTGTCTATATGTCTGGCGGTCTCTCGAGCTATAGTCTGTGCATTTTTCTCAAAGACGTTTGCCGACTATCGTGTTTTTTTGTAACTGTAGAACAGGGGTCTCCAAACTTTTCAGTCCGAGGGCCGCATTAACTATCAAATTTCAGTTCGGGGGCCAGTTTCTTCCAGGCATGTCTTTGATTTTTCTGGGCAAAGTTCCTCCGCCATCACCAATAAACGGTTTTTCCGTGGACAAAAAGATCTCCGCGGGCCGGATGAGAGGACATCGCGGGCCGCATCCGGCCCGCGGGCCGTAGTTTGGAGACCCCTGCTGTAGAAGAAAGATAACTCAACCTCCACCTAATTTAAAAAAAAAAAATTAATTTAAAAAATAATAATTTTTTTTTACATTTTTTATTAAAAATAATTTATCCAGGATTTTTGGGCCCCCAATCGGTCTGCCCCCCCCCCCCCCGCATTGCGGTGTCTGTCGGCACTGTTGTTCCGCCCCTGCGTCTTTGAAGTTGTCTATATGTCTGGCGGTCTCACGAGCTATATTCTGTACATTTTTTTCAAAGACGTTTGCCGACTATCGTGTTTTTTTGTAACTGTAGAAGAAAGATAACTCGACCTCCACCTATTTTTTTTTTTTTTTTTTTTTTTTAATTTTTTTTTTAAATTTTTTTTTTAAATAATTTAGCCGGGATTTTTGGGCCCCCATTCGGTCTGGGCCCCCCCGCATTGCGGGGTCTGGCGGCACTGTAGTTCCGCCCCTGCCCCCCCCCCCCCCTCCCGGAGAAAAAAGTCTGGAAGAAACACTGGCATATAATTTATAATGCGCAAGTTCTCAGTGTGGAAAAACGCAGTAAGCTAAATACGTATTATAGACAGGATTTTGTTATAGTTAGGGGTGGGGGTGTTATCAAGTTTTTCACTACATATAAAATATTAATAAAATATAATCCATAACGATTAAATAACTTGTGGGTTTATGACATTCAAAACTTTGAAACGGCACGATATCACATTGCTGTGAATAGTCGAGTATTTTTTTCAGTAGGCTCTAAGAGTTGACACTTTTTTTTCAAACAATAATTTTAGAATACAAACGCAGACAGATAAACAACTATGTAAAAATAAATTTTGACTATTTTGTTTTATTTTTTATTTTATTTTACGAAAGTGGAATAAATATAATTTTTATTTCACAGGTAAAAATGCAATCGAACAACCGAAGTGTGCATCAAAATACTTAAACTCTAATAGTAAAGAGGTTTTCATTCTAAAGTTGCAATGTTCATCTCATCATAGTACTAACTAGACTCTACTTAGAATCTAGCCTACGCACTTTATTATTTACACTAAATAATTTAACTATACGTAGATTACTTCGGGGAAAATAATTAAATATTGACATACACTTAGATATAGGCTAGATCTAATTATTATTGATCATTATGGCTGCGAAAAATAAAGCAATGGATGATTTTTTCGCAAATATGCCCAATCCTGATGCAATTTTTCAGTCATGGTGGCCCTTTCTCATTGCTGGCGCAGTTGGAACAATCTACGGATTCAGGTAGACACTTGTAATTGTATAAGTCTATAAGATAAGGGGCCTACCTACTATTAGTTACTTATTAGTATAATTTCTAAATTTCATATGTACTGACATGTTTATGAGCTTTAGGCCCCTAAAATTCCTAAATTATTAGTAACTAGACTAATTAGTAATTACTAAATTTAAATTAGCCTACTTTATATTAAAATTTTTATAGGCCATGGATGATTTTTTAATAATTTTACTATTTAGGCCTACATACTACACACACAGTTAAATAAATAAATATAACAAATCCTGACGAGAATTCAGAATCACTGAGATGGCATGCATAAAAATTAAAAGGCCTACAAGTTACAACATTTTTTTAGGGCAGGGTATGGGGAAAGTTGCATGGCTTGGATTTTTATGGGTAATGCAAAGAGAGAAAAAGTAGGTCTAATGAAAATTGAAACAGAAACATGAATTATTTATGTTATTTATTGATAATTTGTTTGCCGAAAATAATTTTAGTTTTCATTTGATGTTTTTTTTCTTATGTAGAAGTGGTAGGCATAGTTGTAATTTTTATCTTGAATGTATTTTCAGGCAGTGGGTTCGTGGCCCTAAATGTATAGGTGGTGCTAAATTGAAAGACAAAACAGTGATAATTACAGGAGCCAACAGTGGAATAGGCAAAGAAACTGCTTTACAATTAGCACGCAGAGGTGATGTTTAAATGCTTTGGCTCTTATTTTATATGGACGATGCCTGCAAATTATGTAGACCTGCCTTACATATAAATTCTTTAGATCTGTTGTACTATAAACTGAGCAGAAAGTTTTGGATTTGTTTAAAATTGGTCTACCATTTTGTATTAGTTTTTTTAATGCCCTTTACTAGCTGATGCTGTAATTAACTTCAGTTAAATCATGCTTTTGATATTGTTAAATATTCATATTTCTAATTCGTTTTATTTTGTTTAATTTAATGATTTACCTATTTAGTTCAAGTAATGTTAAAAAATTGTTTGCATGCTGTTTTTTTTATCTAGGAGGAAAAATTGTGTTGGCTTGTAGAAATGAGGCTGAAGGTAAAAAGACAGCAGAATTTATCAGGAAGGAAACTGAAAACATGGATGTTTATTTCATGAAACTTGACCTAAACTCTTTTAAATCCATAAAGGAATTTGTTGAAAAATTTAAGAAAAGTAAGTCAAGCTGTCCTTTTAAAATTTATTAATCTTTCAAAGTGTTTTACTATCTTTATTTTGACTATTCTAATAATTATTATATATATATACTGTTATAACTGTTCTTATTTTTCTATCTCGAAAAGAGGAGAAACATTTGCATATCCTTATAAATAATGCTGGAGTAATGATGTGCCCAAAAGGAAAGACAGAGGATGGCTTTGACATTCAGTTTCAGACTAATTATTTGGGTATGTATATTTCTGTTGAAGTCCAAGGTGACAAACATTATATAATTGTTAGTTGCCCTATTGTGTTCACTATTATTATTAATAACAAAAAATTTCTTTCAGTTGCAGTTTCTATTAAATAATCTAATTTGTACATTACTATATTTTTGTCTATGAATATGTTGCTAACACACTCTTTTATAACTTTCTGTTATGATTTTTCATTTAATTAAAATTATGTAAATTTATCCACTCCTTAAATCAAAATAAACTTTGATATTACTTTAGGTCCTTTCCTGTTGACTGAATTGCTGCTTGATGTACTGAAAGAGTCAGCACCGAGTCGGATTATTAACACCACAGCTTCAGCACAAAATCTGGGGGACATTAATTTTGAGGACATCAATCACGAAACAAAAGAATACAGTCTGGGTGATATGTATGCACAATCCAAATTAGCTGTAGTCTTGCATACTTTTCAATTGGCAGAAAGACTAAAAGGTTTTTTTCTTGTCTTTTTTCTCGTTTAATATTGCATGACCATTGCTATTTTTTATGCTTTGAAAGTGTTAGGAAATATTTTTTTTAAATCTGTTAATTGAATTTTAACATTAATCTCTCAAAAGGTTTCTGTTAGTTAAGTAATTTGTTTAACCGACAAAAAAATTATACTTTTCATTTCTTTTGTTTTAGATACTCAAGTTACTTGTAATGTTGTAAACCCTGGCATTTGTAATAGTGACATCTATCGCTACCTCCCTCTCAAATCAAAGAAATTTATCCGAGTCAGCTTTGGTCCATTTATGTGGTTTCTTATGAAGTATCCTGAGGATGGTGCTCAGATTTCAGTATATTTAGCAACCGCTGAGGAGTTGAAAGAATCTACTGGTAAACATTTCAAGTAAGTTTTTTTTAACCACTGACTCTTATGTTTCATAATAATAGTATGTAAATTAATTTGAAAAGCTAATTTATTTTTGCTTCTCATTTAAAGTTATTTCTTTTTTTTCTTATATTAACAAAAAATTACCTAAAATATTATTTAGCAAATTGTGCCAAATTAAATGTTTTAACTCTCGAAAAAGACATTGTTTTTTTCTACAAAGCAAAGGACTGTACTTAAAAAAAGCTTTGGATTTAAAACATTAACTGTATTCCTATTTTTAAAATTCCTCACATAAACCTTTATTAAAAATAAATTTCCTTCTAGACCTAATGCTTCTAAAGTTAGATTAAGTATAGTTTCAATGATCTTGGAACAAGAAGCTATCTTTCCTTTCCTCTAGTCTAGTACCCTTCAGCACTGGGTATACTAGACTCTAGCTCTGCAAATTAACCTAATTATGTTAAATATATTTTTGTTTATCTTAAACTAGAGATTCTAAAGAAGAGCCTTTGACTGGGAAATGTCAAGAGAAACTGCTGCAAGAACAGTTGTACAGAGCCTCACTGAAGTGGACTGAGCAAGCAAGGGAGGCTGGCGCAATCACTGCTGAAACCAAAGAAGGCAAGGAAGACAAAGAAGAAAATACAAAAGTCACTGAGAAGATAGAACCCAAATCTAGTACAAAGATGGAGCGGGTTACTCTTTAACTCAACAGATCTGTAAGCCTACTGCTACCCGCAGTTAGTATTTCATCCTGATAATTTTATTTAATGAAAACCAGTTGATTCTTACAGTAATAATTTTTTTTTATACTTAAAATGATAGACACAAAGTGTACATTGGAGAGTATATATTTTATTTATTAAGCCTAATTTGTAGTAAATTAGGAAATAAAATGCACTTTGATAAAAGATCATGGAGGACAAAATCTAAATTTCTTGTTAATATTCAGACATGAGTTTTAAAATTTCTATATTTTAAAATTATCTGTGAAATGATGCATTAGGGTAGTTAATCCTCTAGTGTTGAAATAATTTTGCTTATTATTTCTAGTCTTGCAACCTATGTACATATTGTGCATCTCATATAGTTATTCTTCTTATGTATTATTATCAATAGCATAATATGTATGTTTATTGTCTATATGTATTTATTCAAGAGGTTTCTAAAACTATTCAGCATTACAACTTCAATTTGAAGTTCTAGCAAAAAAAAAATTTTCATATGTACATACTCATTTTAAAAAATAAATATCTAAGTGTTTGCATTATGTATAATCAGTTTTTACATTTCATAGCAAGATCAATCAAGTCCATATAGTAATTGGGTTTGACCAAGGCATTCCAAATAGCTGTCTAGCATTTCCTAAACTGTTTTACTAACCTCTAAAGGTATCAAGCACACATAACCTATAACAAAAATAGGACAACTGACTGATATGTGATTTTATAAATATATAATGCAAATCATACATTATAAGTTATAATGGAATTTAGACATTTTTAGAGAATAGTAATTTTTATATCTTTATTAGATACAATAATAATGCCTTAAATTATACTTAAGGAAAAAACTGCACACTAATTGTCAATTTATTTTTTCAATTCAAACCATTGTAAACTACTAAATAGCAATATTTTTTGTGAAAGTAATCAAATTTAAATGCTTTTTTCAATAATATTGTTCCATACCACCATTGTATTCTATATGCACAAACTATTAGATTTTTAAATTTATTCAAATGCTGATCGAGTTTCAGGGCAAGATATTACAGGACTAAAAAAATGCTGGCTTTTGTTAGAATGTTATACCGAAGAGTGTGATAATCAGATTCTATAAGCAATACTTTACCATAGATAAGTGTGTTCTGTATGACATTCCTCTAGTGCAATGTACAGTTGGTTATGAATAACAATAGATTGGTTTCTGGAGTTGTCATCCAAAGTACTTACAAATGCTCTTCTTTTATAAGACTAAAGTGTACTTTGCATTTATTTTACATTAAAACTGCTGTATTATTCCATATTTTTTAATGCAGCATATTTCCATTATAAGCTCTCCTCATCAAATGTGCTAAAGATAATTTCATATAAATGTGATGTAATGTTGTGATAAGTGGGAAATATTTTTGTATGGAAATCAAATCAGTGTTAGTAACTGTTAGAAAATAGTTTAGAAATATATATCTGGATTAATTTTATTTACTGCTAAAATAATTTAAGTTATTGAAAAATATTTTTTTTTTTTCAATTTTTTTAACCAAACTTTTTTTTTTTTAAATGAAAATGTCAGTAGTATAGTGTAGAATTTATGAAAATGTATAGTAGTTATGATCTCCTCTTGATAAAACTAAATGGAAATGCGATTAACTGTAGATGTTAGCGCTGTATGTTATGTCTTTCACATTATCTTACAAATAAAATACTTCAAATTTATTGTGAAACCTAGTAACTTTTTCCAATACAGGCAACCACTGATAGAATTTTAATTTAATGTTTAGTTTAAAAAGAGGGTAAAACACTTCTTGTAAACTAAAATACAGATGAAATCTCAGGTAGATATTATAAGATGGTGCCTTTTTTATGAGGAAGTAATGTGTTGGATATTGTAAAACTACAAACAAAACCAGCCATATGGCACTCTATAACAGTCACTACACTTTTTATCTCTAGCTGATATGGAATTTCTGACCCCTTTTCAAATATTTCGCTTAGTCAGGGTGCAATTGATTTATTGTGTCACAACTGGACTCAAACAAATTAAATTATTGCCGAGTTAAATTAAGAAAAATTGATGTGGAGTTAAATCAAGCTCATAGCAGAAGCAAGCGTCAGTTGAAACAATTATTTTATAGATATCTGTTTATGATATCTCAAGAATCAAGTCCTCCCTAAGTGACCTAATTTTCAATTTCCTTGCAAGTTTTTCCTAATTATTAAACCTAAACAACTATTATTTTATACTTTGTTTTAATAAAAAACTTAATTATCATCTGATAAATCATCGTCTTCCATGGACTCTTCATTGGCATCTCCATCACTATTATCATCTTTGTCCCAATCTTTCATCTTTGCACCTAACATAAAATCATCTTGTAAAATTTTCCATTTGCCTTTCTTTTCATCATCATTATCCATAATCTGTAAACAAAAAAAAAGGCATTTGAAGCATTTTTAAAACTTTTTGTTGTTGTAACTTAAGATCACGTGACAATGTCTTTGCACAAGACATGTATTTAGCATTGATCTGCATATTAATTTAAAGTATTTTTAAAACCATAATAGCTCACAGATGAAAATGTCGGTGTGCAAATTCCCCAAGACATGCATTTAGTAATGGTCTGCTTATACAATCATACAGAATGATGGCGAGACATTAAATAACACACTAACCTGGGGGCTTTTTCCCTTCAAACGATCAAGAAATTTTCCTTTTGTAAACTCTGACATGACCATGTCCTTTTTTCGTTCTGAAGGCCCCACTGAAGATAACTTTTCTTTCATCAACTTTTGGTGTTCATTTACAGATCTGAATAACTGAACCATACCTCTAGGAAATAATTCAAAGACATTCAATTAGATAACAAGATATTGAATAAGTAAGTTTTAAAACACTTCAAGAATTCATTTCTGCAAAATTTATAAATGAGAACAAGAAAATGAAGAATCAATTAAAAAATTCTTTAATACTCACTGTGTGGCAATTTTTCTCAACCTAACCTCTCTTGGATTATCAAGTACTGATGGCTTTTTTCTTCCCATTGATTCCCATATTTTCCTCTTTGAAAAGAAAAAAATAAAGGTAAATTTGCAACCTTCCAAAATGAGATGTAAAGGAGCAAACTAACAACAATAAACACCAACAATAAAAGCATTTACCTTCTCTTCTTTAAAAAATTCACTTCTTTTTTCTATCTTTTTTGAATTCTTTGGTTTTGTAAGGCCATCTCCATCCTTAGTTTCTTCCCTTAGTCTTTTTCTGTCTGATATATCTTTCAATATTTCTTTATTTGTCTTTCCCTTTGCAAGCAACACTCTATTGCTTTTGGAAATGTCTTTAGATAAGATTCTAGCCACAACACTGGCCATTCCAGATTTTTCTTCAACATTTTCTTGTGGATTTCCTTCTGTACCTATGTCAGAATGTCTGTCATCTTCTAAGTCTGAAAGTCTATCTCCTGCTGAGTTTTCTGAACTATAATCATAATCTGAAAATAAAGTATCTACTATTTAAGTATTTTTATTGTGTTATCCCTGTCCCATAGGCCTAAACAACGAACATTTAAATGACAAGAAAAAACCAGATCATAGTTTAAAGTTTAAGTAGTGTAGTGAGATTAGAAGATTGCAGAAAGTTTTTATATAGAGCTATTTGGGTTAGATTTGCACAAAAGCAGGGGAAATTTTCACAGGTAAGCGCTAGAATTTGAGCTGAGAGCAGGGTGTCATCCGAGACGCTCAGGTGGGGTATATAAACCAGAGGCTTAGCCTTAGGGGGATGGAGAAACGATGGCCATAGCCACTAATTTATGCAGCACATGTGTTGGCACTATTGTCTCCTTACGGCTTAGATGCACGCTACACACTACAGACTACACAGAAGCGATTCCCCCGTCAAGAAAGAATAGATTCTGCACTGTTCGCATAGTACAAAATAAATAAAGATAGCCGGAATAAGATACGCATGCGCAATGGAGAGAAACTACGACTTGCTTTCGCGGCAATGTTTTCGATGGTACTGCGCATGCGTGTGTTTACAACCGCAGAACCCTAACACCAACCCTAATCTAATCCTATCCCTAACCCTCATTCTAGCCCTAACCCTAGGTCACTGCGCATGCGCAGAACTATTTTTTGCAGACTAAGTGGAGACGTTGGGGAGAAAAATCTTCTTCTGAGTAGTCACTTCGTAAAGATTTACAGTTTAGTGAGTTTACAGACCACTAGGCCTATTCTTCATTTTTATTCGTCTGTGATTGAGAGCAAAGTCTAAAAAAAATTTACAACTGTGACTGTGACACATTGTGCATTTTTGTAAAGGAAAAGAACGACGAGTAACTGTCAGTCCTGTCAATGACTGACTGAAGTCTGGTCTTCTCAGGAACGTACAGCATAAAAAGTTACAAATTCACAACTGGGTCTAAACTCTAAACGAAAGATAAGTGGTAAAATGTGTCTTTTTAATTAGGCTTCAGCGAATACTTTAGGCCTACATTAATTACATTAAAATATATGCTTAATTAATATATGTAGGCTACATGTTTTATACCATCATCATCTGTCTCGCTGTTCATGCTTGCCATGTTGTTTTTATTTACTAGATCTCTAAATACCGGAAATGAACGGAAACTGTTTAGAACCTTACTGTCCTTAACTAGTAGAGTCTAAGTTACAAAATTGACCATGGCTTGAAATTATAAGTTCGCTATAATATAAGAAGACACATGAGATTTACATGTAGATCTAGATTCTAATTCATTAATGATAAAACTACATTATATCAATATATTACGATATAGATCTAGATCGAAAATCTAGATTCTAGTCATTCTAGCTACTGAGCTAGATCTAGACTAGATCTAATCTAGATTCTAGATCTAGATTTTTAAGTGTAGTTTAGTGTAGTGTAGTGGTTAGATCGAACTTTTCAAAAAATTGCTGATTAGGCCTAATGCCTAATAAATTATTAATAATACTTTGATAGTAAATACTAATCTACTTACTAGTAATACTGTAATAATAATAATATTAATAAATATTTTTTAATATTATTAATTAATAATTATTATTAATATTAATAATAAATATTAGGATTAGGCCCCTAATAAAATATTTTAATATAATAAGATTAGGCCTAATTAATTAGAAATACAATATAATACTATATTATAGGTGCTAGGCCTATATAATATAAATATAATTAATTAAGCCTATTATTATAAGTAAATATATAAAATTATAATATATTATGTAGGCTCTACATAATATATATATATGTATATATATATATATATATATATATATATATATATATATATATATATATATATATATATATATATATATACTAGCTACATACCCATCCTCCGCGGGGGTGCGGACAGCACCGGGTGACACCATTTAGGGGGGTGACACCAAGGCAAAAAATAGCAAAATATATAGAGAAAAACTTGAGGGGGGTGCAAATCGAAAGTTTGAGGGGAGGTGCAAATCGAAAACTTGAAAGGTTATCCCCGGGAAGGGTCGCAACGCCTCTGGGGGTGACACCATTAAGTGCCGCACCGGGTGACACCCGACCTCGCTACGCCACTGGTCCTCCGCCACTGTGAATCTTTTTAAAATGTACCAACTTGGGAACAGAAATAAACTAAACGCAAATGCTTATAGCGGTGCTTTGCCACAGTGTGGTTATGGATATTACCTCAAAGTCTACCTGCTGGGCGCAGATTGGGGTCCCCGCAATGGGGCTTACATTCCTTCGGATGCACTTCAGTGTGAATATGGGTATTCAACGCTCTCACGAACTTCCGCCCATACATCTCTACTCCCCGAACCAAAGGCGCAATTTAAACCGCCACCAAAAAAACTTTTTTTCCTGGCCGTCTGCGCCCAGGGAGAGACTTTCAAAATCTATAGTGATGACATGAGGGCTAACACACTACCACCCGTTTTATATTATATATATATATATATATATACATATATATATATACATATATATATATATACATTTTTATATATATACATATATACATATATACATATATACATATATACATATATACATATATAAATATATACATATATACATATATAAATATATACATATACATATATACATTTATAAATATATAAATATATATATATATATATATATATATATACGTGTATATATATATACGTATATATATATATATATATATATACGTATATATATATATATATACATATATATATACATATACATATACATATATATATACATATACATATACATATATATATATATATATATATATATATATATATATATTTTAAATGTATTTCAGATTTCACTAATTGTATAGAAAACACATTGCTTATAGAAACAAACACACAGACAATATTAAAATGAAACCCAGTCAAATTCCCCAAAGCAACAGAAAATCACTGAGGATTAAAAATAAAGAATCTGAAAGTCTTTTAGAAAGTGCACCTGTGCAAAATAAAAAACAAAAAGTTAGCTTGAAATCAAGTAAAGGATTGCCTAAAGAGGAAATCACAAATACCACCTTTGGCGACACTGTCGGTAAGAGAAAGGTAGCCTCCAAATCTAAATCTTTTCAATTGAGCTTGTCAAGTGGCCAACAGAGAGCAGAAAGCAAAACAAAGCATCTGGATGAAAATTTTCTTCTTGATATATATCACAAGCGGTTAAGAACCCTTAAAGGCATGATGGGTTTTACAGAAGATATTCAAGTTTTTCATACACTTTGTGATCGCTTTGAAAAACTAAGGGACACAACTAAAGCCGTTGGTATGTGTAAATATATGAGAAATCAATTTGAATACTTTGGCATTCCAACTCCTCAGCGCAGAGATGTATACAAAAATGTGAGTACAATTTTAAATTGTTTACACTATGGTGTATATATTTTCACAATTTAATTGACATATAGTACTTTATAAGGCAAGCAACAATATTATAATTTTATTTATGCACATTTGTATGGGGAATTTAACTAATTGTATCCTGACATGATTAGGTTCAATGATAGGCTGATGAATTTTTTTTGGATTAGCTGACTATTGGTAACTCCTTCAAAGACTGCGGGATTTGTCCAGGTTGTTGTACATCTTTAATGGGATTTCTTCACCCCATCTATATTGCTTTCCTCACTTATTCGATTACAGATAATATTATTGTGGGAGTAGATTATGAACCCTCTATCGTAGGTGCATATCCTTGCTCATTTGACTACCAATATTTTTTTTAAAAAGCTTGAAAAATATTTATAACTTTACAATTTAAACTATAATTAATTGTTCACAATTTTATATGAAACTATGTACAATGGAAGACTTTTTTTAGATAAAAAAATTAATTAATTTTCAGTATATGCACATTATATGGTAAATGAATAGGCACATACATTACACATCAACAGAAGAAGTATAAAATGAATTGATTAAAAACTTTTCATTGTTAAATGTTATTTAACATTATTCAGCTGTGGAAAGATGTTAGACTACTTAACTCATCTGAATTAAGAACACTGGCTTGTCAAACATGGTTTTCACCAGAGAGAGAGTTCCAGTATTTTACTGCCGAGTTATTAGAGAGGGAGGTCCTTAGAATCTATTCAGATGATAACCAATCCCCTGAAAATACTGTTTTGAAAGCATTGGATTTTGTGAAGACTTTTTTGCTTCATGAGAAAAGCTGGTGGGATACAGTTGACACTTTAGCCCCCAAAGGTATTGTGAAATTTTAACTTTTTGTGTAATTCTTTTTCATATAAAAATAAAGATAACTTGTAGTGTATCTTGCTCATGTGTATTTGCCATTTCCTTACAACTGTAAAGTGGGATTAAAAAAACATATTTATAAGTGTCTTTCCCAAGTCCCGAGCAGATCGAAATCCCTTGCATAAATTTTTTTTAAATTTGTAAATTGAATATTGAGTTTTTTGTCTCTATAATTTAGTTGTAGGACAGTTATACAAACAGTCTCCAGATGTCGTAGGACCCGTATTGGACCAGTGGAATGTGGATAGAAACCGCTGGCTGTGTAGGACATCTATTATTTTCCAGCTTGGTTATAAAGCTGATACAGATGCAGAACGATTGTTTAGGTACGAGTTATAAAAGTACAGTTGATTTAGTAAAATGTTTCTGGAAGTACTAGAGAAGTGTCTGTGATGTAAAAGTTTTAAATTATAATACAAAGTTAGGAAAGCCATACAAATTAAAAAAATATTAATATAGTAAATATGCATGCTTTATCATGAAAATGAAACAACTTTCATTCATTTTACTATGTGCTGTTATCACTAATCACTCATTGTTTCTTCTCTATCTTAAAAAAACTCATACCTTCCTCTGTTATTAATTAATCAATAAATAAAGTATTGTAATTTGGGAAGTTTAGCTTGCTAGCAAAAAATTCATTAAGAACTATTTCTATCTGTCAATAGATTAACAAAGTATTTAAACATTCCAGATACTGTTTAAAGGTGGGCAATGAGGAAGAGTTTTTTATTCAAAAAGGCATGGGATGGGCCTTAAGGGAATACCACAAGACAGATCCTGAGGCAGTACGCAACTTTGTGTTAAAGAACAAAAGCAAATTGTCAGCTTTAAGCATTAGAGAAGCTTTAAAGCATGATAAATGATCATACTGTGTATGTTTGTGCTACTATATAAAGAGACTGTTACCATAAGTATGTACAGGATATAAATACATGAATACAATTGTAATTTATAAGTTTATTGTGTATAGATTTTGTAAACATGTATTAAGGAAAATACTATATTTTTAATAAATGCTTTTGTAATATAGAATAATAAACAACGAATAACCATATTAAGTTTTAATATAATCATAACATTTGTTAATGTTGCTTTGTTGAAAATAATACATTTCTATACAAAAAATTCTACACATAATTCAATAAAAAAAATCACAACTTTAAAACTACTTTGTACTTTACTTATTGCTAAAATACCAATACCATTGTTATGTATAGCACACTGCTTGCTAATGCTATATTTACAAAGAAAACTAGTGTCTATCCTGATACATGTATTTTTCATTTATAATATAAAACAACGGTGGTAACTTATTCCCCTGGAGACATAATGCCTAGTTAAATCTAATTTTATAAAAATAAAATCATGATCATTTAGTTATTTTACAATTCTGCACAATAAAAATCAGGTATATTTTATTTTAAAATAATTGTTTACAATCTTTTTCTACTTTATAAGAATCATCAAGTTTATTAATAATGTGTCTATAATTTGTAAATGATGCTCAGGGTTGCCTTATAGTAACAAAATTCAAAGAATATTATTTATTATTATTAATATTATTAAAAAAGTTCTATTTTTAAGGTATACTTGATGTACAAATTTCATTGTGTAACTGTTGTGGTTGTCTTATATGCAAAAATAAAATCTGTTTAATGAAAAAAGTATTACATTAACCTTGAATAATTAAAGCTGCCACCATATGAATTACATCAATGGAAAATCAACATAAACAATTTAAAAAAAAAAAAAGAAACCAATGACTGTAGGTTTCCATTTAAATTCTATTTAGCTTTAACAGAAAAATGTTCATGGCACTTAGATCTAAATGAACATAAAGAAAATGAATAACAGTTAACCATGATTCAGTTGGATGTTCTGTATATGTTTATCTAATAATAATCATGTGTAATTCAAGTAGTATGAAAGGTATAATGAAAACATTGAGCAATGCACTTTAACACAGACATTTGAAAATGTTACCCTTGAAAAACCTGATATATACTTGACACAAATTTCATTCTCAGAAGGCCCAAAAAATTTAATAGGGTCTACAATCACTTTAAAATGAAATAGTACTGAGTTATGAAAGTCCTAAAATTTCTTCTGTATCTGGGTCGATGTCTATGTCATAGAAACATGGGCGGGTTGGAAGTCCTGGCATAGTGCTCATCTTTAAAGAAAATGTTTGGTGTAATAAAACAGTGGAAAATATAACTGCACAATGCTTAGTTTTATGATTGAATTTGGTAAATTAGCTTTCAAGTCATTACATAACTTAATAAAATATTATGCTGAAAAGCCACATGAGCAACATAAACAAAAAAACTATGCATTAAAAACAAAAGCTCAAGAAATACTTACAGTTCCAACAAGGGGATAAATAAAGCCAGCGCCAATGCTTGCTCGAGCCTCTCTTATGGGCAATATGAACCCTGTAGGGGCACCTTTAAGCTCAGGTTTATGTGACAAGGAAAGATGTGTTTTTGCCATACAAATTGGAAGGTCATTAAATCCCTGAAAGCAAGATAAATTTCAATAAATGAAATGTCATTCGATTCCAGACAAAACATGGCCATAATGCAGAGAGATTAAAAAAAAAATCATTTAAATTTGATAAAAGGAATGTTTTTCTAGCACTAAAAACAGGTCATAAGGCTTAAAAGTAAAAAAATGTTCATTTAAAAAAATGTTCATTTAAAAAAATGTTCATTTAAAAAAATGTTCATTTAAAAAAATGTTCATTTAAAAAAATGTTCATTTAAAAAAATGTTCATTTTAAAAAATGTACATAGGAGCGTGTACAGACCTGCTTCTTATACCGCTCTATCTGTTCTCTAGCCAGCAGTTCAAGCTCAATGCCAGCTGCCCCATAAATTTCTTTAGCAATTGTTTCTATCTTTGTTTCAATTTGCTCCTGAAGAAATAACAGAAATTGTATAAATCATGCGCAGATACCTAAAGTATTGGGACATTTTAAAACACTTGGTACCCTTGTGTCTTTGAATGAGTCAATATTGATTTTTTAATGAAGGAAAATTTTTTTAGGTGAAATTTGGAACCTAACCATAACATTTAGAGATAGCCTTAATTAATTAGCATACATTTTTTTAAAATGGTAGCCTACCCTGCCCTAGAACATAAAACTTTATTAACACAGAACAAACAAAGGAATTTTTAAATTTTATTCATACTGATATTCGGGCAGGTCGTCAACTAAAATATTTGAGCTTTTAAAAAATAATCCTTTAATTACTCATCTAAGCTTAATATATTATCATTTTAAAATATGGGCACCATATGTCTCATACGATATGACAACATCCAACACAGGTAACAAAGACATCTTTCAAAGTACCAAATAAAAGAAATGACCCGGTGATTTCTGTTTAAAGTAGTAATTTAGCCACTTACTTTGACATCATACAGGAACTTGAAGTTGCTGGGTTGCCTAGTGGCCTGGTCCACAGCTGTGGCTAGATCTGTGGCCCCTCCTCCTCCCTTGGCCCAGTGGTAGCATATGACAGCATCAAAGGCACCATTTTCTCTAGATATTCTCTGAACAAGCTCCAATTCAGCATTGGTGTCAGTGCTAAAGAGAAATTAATATGATGGAAAATTGCAAGTTTAGGGCATTCAGTTTTATAAAGTGTCTACATTTGAATTAAATCAATTACTCAAACCTATTTTACAATACAATTATTTAATATTCCAGAAATTATTTTTCCCCAATCAACAACTATTCTTAGTATTTAAATCAACATTAAAGGTGCTTTAATACTAACTTATTCAATGACTCAGTAAGCTACATTGACTCAAATGTAGGTTGTGCTTATATTAAGAATTACTAAATAGAAAATTGGTAACTTCAGAGAATTCATCCTGGTTAGTTATTTTATTATATTCATAAACTTACGCAAAGCCATTGATGGCAACAACGACAGGTACCCCAAACTTGTTTGCATTTTGAATTTGTTTGATTAGATTACTGCAACCCTGCTCTACTAGTGTCAAATTCTGGAAAAAAGTTAAAAATTTGTAATATTCCATATGAACACATCACATTATTTTCTTACAAAAAAATCAATTCATCTCATACCAAGTAAGTCATTCCAAGGTTTGTTAGGTAGCTAAATATTAAAAAGTATTATTTTATACCAAATAAAATCAAATGATTTATTGTTAATAAAATAACTCAATTTCATACACAATAACTCAATAAAAGGTGTATTATTAAAATTATTTCATCAAAACAAATCAAATGATTCTCTTACAAAATAAATCATTTGATATCAACAAGGGTTGCTAAAGACCGTTCCTGAGTCCACCCAACTTTGATGGGTACCTAACTCATGTTAGGGAAAGTAAAGGCGGCTGGGCATAGTGCTGACCACGCTATCTCTTCATATGCCGAGGTCACAGAAACAAGTGAACTCTACTTCACTTGCCCCATAGACCGTCAGGTTTGAAAGGGAAACTTTACTTTTAAGGGTTGCTAAATGTATTAAAACTAGCAATGAGTTGACTGAGAATACAGACCTCTTCTCTGTACTCTTTTGGTAAAGGCACACCAGCCACCACAGTTGGGCCACCCCCATGCATCTTGAGGGCTCTAACTGTGGCAACCAGCACAACTGCATTAGGCTGCAGACCAGAGTAGCGGCACTTGATGTTGAAGAACTTCTCCATTCCAATATCAGCTCCAAAACCAGCTTCAGTCACTGCAAACATAAAACAAAATGATTTTGTAAAAGCAATGCTATAAAAGGAATAGCGTGGCCATATGGTAGAGCTTACAACAAAATACTGCTACGCTCAAGTCTTGAGTTCAGATCCTGAACTCAAATGTGTAGGATGTCCCTGAATCAACCCAGATCTGGTGGGCACCTGACTTATACTATGGAAGCTAAAATAGCTGGGCCTAGAGCTGAACTTCACTTCATCTACCTCATGTGTCTTGTGCACATGAAAAGGTCAATGTTGTAAAATATAAATTATTTTTACAAAAAATTATTCAATTTCTTACCCACAAAGCCATTTTCTCCAACTAGCTTCAAAGCGATTTTGTCAGCAAGGATGGAAGAATTACCATGAGCTATGTTTGCAAAGGGGCCCGCATGTACAAATACTGGTGTACCCTGGATATTTCAAGATAAAAATGGATACTTGAATTATTAAGCTAAAAATAATCCATATTTATTTTTTATAGATCATAAAAAGTATAACCAATCCTACAGCTCAGGCATAAATACATGATTTCCTACTGGGATTAGTCATAGTTAAATGAAAAGATTGCTACCTCTAATGTTTGCATTAAATTTGGTCTGATGGTATCTTTCATTAGGACAGCCAATGCTCCACCAACTCCCTACAATAAAAAGATAAGCAATAGAATGAATGGTTTAACATGGTGCTTTGACTATCATTTTGCTATAACTATTGTTTACAATAAGATAAAGAGTAACACTTAAAAAAGTAGTTTGGTAGTCAAGCTTAAAAATTGCAAAAAACAAGCCCTACCAAGTAATTAGTGCTACCAGTAAGGTTAATACGGTTAAGTTTCCTAACGTAACAAATAAAACAGTTGCAAACGTACCAGATCATCAGCAGTGATGGGTTCCCCAGCCTTACTGCTGGCCACTACCATCCTGCCTAGTCTTTCTCTCATGTCTCGCAGGTCTGTTGTTAATGCCAGCACTGCCATTATTTCACTGGCAACTGTGATATCAAACTGGACCTGGAGTTGGCATTAAAAGATTTAGCGGTATTAAACTAGGTAGGAAGGTATCATTAAAAATAATTATTTGGTTTCTAAAGTACTTAAAATTAATGGTACTTAATTATTCACTACAGTTATTTTAAGAAAATATAAAAATAAAATTTTATAAAAATGTGATTGAATTTCATCCTTATCAGTCCATTTTTTTCAAAAAAGGAAAAAAAAAAGCTTTGAGATTTTAAGGTGTATCCATTTGTATAAAAACCTGACTCCAGCTACACCAACAACTAATTTCTTGACAAGTGTGGACTTTAACATTTATACCTCTCTCTCATGACCTTTCTCTTGAGGACCTTGACCTATGGTTATTTTGCGAAGAAATCTATCATTTGTGTCCATCACTGAAAAACAAGAATCAAAATATTTAGTCACACTATGTTAGGAAATATAATTGTAAAAAAACTATAAATTGTGTGCTGGTGTGACAAGAAATATTTGTATTTGAAGAATATCAATTTAGTACATTGGCACTATCACCGAAAAATAATTTTTAAACTATGTAATGTTTCTATCAAAAACTTTTCTTATATGTTAAAATTTACCTCTCTGCCACGTTATTGTGTCTTTATCAATATCAAGACGCACAAATCTCTTTATTTCTTCAGGGGTTAGTTCCTTAGGGTCAGTTTTAGTTATTCCAAGTTTCTGGAAACAAAAATTTTAAAGAAACCCTCAGAAGAGCTAAAAACTAAGGGCTTTCATCAACACATTGTAGTCAGTTATTAACAAACTAACAATCTCTTACTGATGAAAGAATAAAAGCTTCTAAAAACTCAGCTGTTCCCAAAGTTTGTGGTTAAACTTTTTACTTTTATTTTAAAGAAAATAAAATTTTTAGTTAAATCTTTCTATACCTTAAACATACTGCTGTAATCAGTTTAAAAAAAAATCCTTTCAATGTTATCAAATATTCTAATTACTTTCAGTCTCCTTATCTGTATTGGGCAGAAGTCACGCTGTCCTTTATTATCTGGTACCAATCTTTTGTAAAGTGCCGGATCAGTTTGTGTAGCTTCATGGAACATTCTGGCCTCTATGGCTGCAGCCAGAAGGTTGTTGGCTGCAGTTATGGCATGCAAGTCTCCAGTCAAATGCAAGTTGAACTCTTCCATGGGAATAACTTGAGAGTAGCCTCCTCCTGCTGCTCCTCCTGCAATGGACAAAAAATTTGTTTTGATAAATTAAGGAATAATTTAAAGTGGATAAAGTTTAAAGTAGTTTTCGATTTGTACTTCCAAATTTAAAAAAAAATGTGTATCATCCATTTTGGTTTTAATTTAACATGATAATTTTATTAAAGTATCCATCTAAAACACTAGGAACAATGAGGTATTATTATAAGACTTTCAATTATTGAAATTTTAAAACTTTTAAACCAAGTATTTTATAATTACAGAGAGCTAAGAGAAAAACAAGAGCAGCTGATACCTTTAATACCAAAAGTTGGTCCCTGTGATGGCTGGCGGACACATGCGAAGACATTTTTCTTCAGATGAGCTCCAAGAGCCTGGGCCAGTCCTACTGTTGTGGTACTTTTTCCTTCACCCAGTGGCGTCGGTGTGATTCTTGTAAGTAACATACAAACAGCACATAAGTGTTATGAATAGTATCTCAGGTATTGCAAGGGTATTAGAGTATGTGTGTTGTGGAATGATTTATATTAATAAAAGATTGTGACAAAGTACGTAAGGATCTGATGTGTGAGAGAAGGATCTTGTTGCTGGGGAAAATTATTAGAACAGTCTTAATCATATTGTACTAGGGTGTAGAGGTATTCGTCTGCCATCGTGAATACAGTCTTTGTATACCTTGTGGAAGTGATTGCCCGTTTGTATTTAGCCATGCCATAAACTATGGAATGAACCAATGCGCTCCTTTTCAGTTATTGCCTATAAAGCCTTACAAGGCCAACCCTGTCCCAAACTTGCATTGCAATAGTAAGGTGTAATGTTAATAGAAATAAAATGGGTAGTGTTCGTATCCTCACAAATTCAAGACAATTACAGGTACAATGGATGTTTCAACCTAAGGTCTCCGCCAGCACACTGCAGCTACTATTTATATTCATATAAGGCGATGTTTTATTTTGTCTTATTAATGTAAGTTGTGTAATATTATAAGAGAGACGTAACTACACTGAAATTGTCAATATAACATCAAGATACTATAGGGTGTGTAATGAAGTTAAATTTTCTCAATGTATGTTTTGTGTCAAGGTAATTAGAGAAAAACAAATACACTTACACAATTTTTGTTTGATTACTTGTATACATTTTAAAATATACTTTTATTTTAATGCTACTTTCAAATTCTTTTCTTTCTTTTTAAACATGGGAAATGATGTTTTTTTTAAATAGATAGTTACCCTGCGACAACAACATATTTCCCATCCTTCTGTTTGTTAAGTCTTTCCAAAACTTTCAGTGACACTTTGGCTTTCTTCTTCCCATAGAGATCCACTTCCTCATGACGCAGGTTGATCTCACTGGCTAGCACTGACACATCTTTTGGAACTTGAGATTTGGCAATATCTATGTCACTGGGAAAAAATAAACAATTATTGGAGTTTTAAACATGGCATTTTTTAAAAAAAATGTAATGCTTCGAGTAGTATGAGAATAAAGAACGTTACATTAATGTGGTTATTCTACTATCACATCATTTTTTAGAGATTCTGAGTCAATATTTGGAATGTAAAGTTTAGATAATTCTATATTATAAATCATAAATTAGATCATAAAATACATTACAATACATGACATTACAAAAGTAATACACATTTTATTCTGTTTATTTTTTTAAAGTTTGTTTACTAAATGAAAAATGACTTGGGCAGTTATGTAACCATTTAATTTGATATGAATTGGTTTTTTTAATCATTAAGAAAAAAGAAAATTGTATAATTTCACAAGGGAAATTATTTCTAAAATCTCTTAATAGAGTTCTTTAGAACAACCCACCTAGGAACTGGATCCTTGAGGGCCAATGGCAAGTACTGAATATTCCACCCAGTAGTGGTCTACATAAGAAAAGAAGTTTTTTTTTAGTTATCCTAACAAAGTGAAAGATATAATACAGATCTCATAAATTTTTAATATTGGGTTAGGGCCATCTAATTGTATGATTGCTCAAATATTTAGTGTAACCTCACCATTTAAAATTCAAATTCTAAGCATGATGATTTGACATGATTTAATAGCTTTTATCTGTGTTGTGACCATCAGATACTTAACTTCACAGTAAAATGCATGCTTTTGGGGGTTGACAAATGAAGATGATAAATTAAAAACAAATTTTTTTATCTGTGAAGTGAACTTTTTGTTAGTAAATTGCTGAATTTCACAAATTAGAACACAACAATACAAACAGATCAACTAAGACAAAACAGTAAACAAAAATTTATAACAAGTAATGTGAATAAAACATTTTAATCATCCAAAATGAGATCTGTTATTTTAATTCTTAAAAGCAAATGTTAACTATGAAATCCAACTCAATTCAAAACAATAAACTTAAAACAATGTTAGAAGAAAAAAATAAAATTAAAAAAAAAAAGAGTCCTACAAACTAGAAAAAAAAGGTTCAAAACTAAAAATAAAGAAATGAAAAGCAAAGAAAACAAAGAGTTTATACCTTACTAATGCAGAAATATTTTGAAACATTTCCTTAAAATTCATTTGCATTTAAACAAGTTGAAATATATTGAGTTTAACCTAAAAATAGATCTACAAAACCAGATTTATTTTTTACTGACAGCAAATATATTATCAATACATTAAAAAAACTTAAAGGAATACAATTAAAAGAAGAAAAAAAATCTTTTAATAACATCAGTTTGAAGGTAGCTTAAAATAAGTGGATTTAAAAAAATATATCTTATTTCTTTAGCAACAATATATCCTTGAATGTTTCCAGTATTTTAATGAATTTATTTACAGTTGTATGGTGTCTCTAATACTGATTTATATCCTAAGGAAAATGGGCCACAGTAGACTTCAAAATAAAAAAGTAACATATCACTGACAGGAGAATCATAATTAGGTCTATACAACTGACATTCACATTTCAATTGGATGGTTCCAGTAGTGAAACAAGAAATTAACAATAATGACTGATCCAAAAACAACTAAAACACATTGAGTATTTATGTAAGATTCCAGTAGAAAGGCAACACTGAAGTGTTACAAATTGAGTAATGAGTAAAAATATAAAAATATCTCATTGGTAAAAGAATTAAAAAATAAAATTTTTTTCCAAATTAAATGCTTTCATTTTCCAACAAGACAAGTAAAAAGTTATAGAGGATAAAAAAGTGACAAGTCAGATCTCTTAAGCACAAAAAATTATGCAGTACAGCAAGATGAACACGTGATATGACCAACGATATGAATGTTCAAACAACATCTCTGTGCTTGTATGATACAATGGAATGTAAGTGTCTTAATCTTCTTGCTTCTTACTTACGGCCAGTTTTTCATAACTCTTTCTGGCCTGATCAACTGTATTTCTCAGCAGCATGGCCACTGTCATGGGGCCGACCCCACCAGGGACTGGGGTGATCCATGAGGCAACTTGCTTGGCAGATTCATAATCCACATCTCCTACAAGGCGATATCCTCTTGGTTTAGTTGCATCTGGAAAAGTTTGTAGCCTTTAATGAAACTGATAAAAAAGTTTGCTCACTTTTGAGTTTTGTCAACTGACAACTTTGTATAACAAAACATAACTTTTATTTAAAATGTTATCTATATGTGATCTCATTTTTTAAATTTTTTTACCTCCATACACATTTCAGAAGTAATTACAAAAAGGGCCAGACCCACTCTCTTAAAATGATATCTATAATGCCCCACACGTGGACTAAAATAGATGTAATTGTATTGATGTGTTAAAAAAAATAAACACAAGAACATTAAAAAAAAAACCTAACCCTTTTCTCAGAGCATATCTGAGTGTAAGTCATTCAATACTGGCTAACATTTAGGTATGCATTCATGATATCCACACAGTGGGTGTGTCGGCCAAACTTATGTTTATTTTTGTGGAGGGCAGAGAGAAAAGATGGTGCCGAAAATGTTATTACAGATGGATGACCCCCCCCCCCACCCAGAAAATAATCCTAGAGCTAGTTTTTTTTTTTTTACCAGGCAATGAGTTGATGCCACAATCTATCACCACAGCTCCAGGCTTGATCCAGTCCCCTTTCACCAGCTCAGGTTGACCAATACCCACAACCAAAATATCTGCCCTTTGAACCTATTGATCATTAAGAATTATATAATGTGGGTCAAACAACATGTTAGCTTAATAATTACTAAAGAGGTAAAATTAGATACGTCCAGAACATCAAATGATTTATGATAAAATACAAACAAATATTGTAAGTATTTACAGTCTGGGTTTTGGTCGTACCTCTGCCTTAAGATCAGCAGTCCGTGAGTGACAGATGGTCACTGTAGCATGGTTCCACAAAAGCAGGTCTGACATGGGGGCTCCAACTATTTTACTACGGCCAACAACAACTGCGTTCTTTCCTTTGACGTCCACCCCTACATTTTTTTGAATAAAATCAATGCATGGTTCAGAGATGACCCAACAGCTATTGGAAATTTTGTTTCGTATGAGATTATACATCCAACAATTCAAGGTAATTTCAGGTGGAAATTTGAAATTTTTAGGAATTTCTAGTGTAAATAAAAAAAATGTGAAAAAAAAAAAAATTCAAAGGAAAATAAAAGGAAAATCTAATATTTTCAAAACATTTTAAAGCTTTTTTAAAATGCTTATACATTAAAACATAATTTATGTTAAATTTGTTGAAATTTTAAAAACTAATTTAAAATTTTTAATAGAAATTAAATGTTATACTAACAACTGATTTAACATAAATTATGTTTAAATAGAAGTATGGAGTGAAAACCTTACCTGTTCGTTTGATAAGTTCCATACACCCTCTTGGGGTACAGGGCAAGATGCAACTATCCAGATCACCACGGGCAAGTCTCCCAGCATTGTCTTGGTGTAAGCTGAAAAATAATTCACAGACATCCAGCATGATGTACCCTCTAATGTGGGTGAATGGCGAGATCTGAAAGTATACTTCACAACACTCAGATCAGCAAGGTGTTTATCTTACTACTCCACACATCCTTTACCAATCTATGGGACAGTGAGGTTGGGCGGTACAACACATGACTATTAATTGTTTCATTTTGAACTTTGTTTCTGTTAGGTAACTCACTCAAGCGATAGCTCCAAGAAATGACCACACTATTACTTATAATGAAGAAATAAAAGTAGCTTGAACACAATTTCTGTAATAAAGTAGAAGAATTTACGTAACAGCAATGTAAAATACAACATTACTTACCCATCAACATCTTTACTCTGAAGAATGGCATTTGTGACCAAATGGGCATCTATTACATTATCACTCTCCAGTGGTAGCTGGAAAATTAACAGTTTTATCACAATTAACCCTTTATCTACTGACGATACTTATAAGTACCACTTTAATTAAATGCCTGTATTATTTTTAATTTAATACGAATTTTAAAAATTATTGAAGTAATTAATAGTATTATCTCCCCTGAGTCGCCGGTAGTCGGAGGTATCAATGTTTTTTGAAAATTACTGGTGCGGCGCAATTTTCAATGTCTTGCTATATCGGTAGTTCACAATTTTTCTATACAGTTCTCACACACGTTCTTGATTTCTCTTTGTTGTACCTTATTTTTCAAGTTTTCAACCCCAAATATTTTTTATTGGCAACTTCAATAGTCAGGCAAACGCATTTAACTTCTAGTTATACATTTTTAATCAAATTGTCTTTGTATTAGATCGATGTTTACAAGTGGACTTATAAGTACCGTCAGGGCACACGGTCATTTTTTTAGTATTTTTAGAAAATGGCAGATTTTTTATGTGGAGTTACATAAATATTGTCTTGATAATTAATTATCGAAATGTACTCAAAAAATGATATTTACACATTTATAAGAAGTTTAGCATATGGTTTACCTAAGAAATATTGTAATTACATGTTAATTTCTAGTAGTAAAAAACTAACAAGAATAAAGGTATTAGTTGCAGGCTCGTTTACAAGGTTTAGTTTACTTCATTTGTATACCAAAGCCTAGTTCTAGTTGTAAGATTTAATTTGTTAGTTATATTTACTGCACTGAACTGTCTTGCCTACAACAACTAGCATTTACATAATGTATACATGTAGGCTAGTAATAGTCCATACTTCTGCATAAAGTATTGATCTATAAGGTAAATTTTAATCAGTAAACAGAAAGGAGTAGGCCACTATGGCTATCCTAAACACATTGGGCTCACTTCAATTTATGAACTTCGCACTGTAGTGTAGGCTTGTCATAACATTCTAGTAGGCTACAATTATACTAGTATTACTGGTAGTTGCGTGCTGAATGACTAGGCTTTTGTTTGTTAATGCGGCTCATTGTACTAGCTATTGGAAGCTTCCAGCAAAATCATGTTCATTCCGGCAACCGTTGCTACACCAGAAATTCCACAGTCAAGATTGAGGGAGCATGACATGTCGACTACTTTTGCTGTGTTTGAGGTCTAAGATGTGTTCCGATAGAAAATCCAGTAAAAATCGTACTCAAAATATTCTTTTGTGCTGTATTTATGTGTGAAAATTACAAAAAGTGATTGTTATAATGATTGCCATGTTATTAGTTAATAAATTGTATCGTGTGTTCCTGTTTTGTAAAAAAATTTTTTTTTCAAAAAAATGTCCTAGTTTACTGACGGTACTTATAAGTACCAATATCTGTTTGGGCCATTAAAAATTTATGAAACGAAATTTCCTTCGATATATGCTTTAAATGTGCCAAAAGCAATATAGTAACACATTGTTTAAGTAAAAATCTCATTCAGAACATAATTTCGTAAATAAAGGGTTAAAATTATCATTGTCTATTAGATACAATAAATACCACACCATATCTGATTAACAATATTTACATGACTTTCAATAAATAAACAAGACAGTGTTAGAAATATATCCAGCAAAATTTTATTTCCAATGTTGTGATAATGATACTTTTTTTTTTAAAATAATTTCTATTGAATATATAGTTTGAAGCAGTAATAGGAAAGATAATACACTAACCTGAACAATAATTCCATGAACACTGATGTCATCATTTAACTTTTCAACACATGACAACACCTTAAAAAGTGTTTTATTACATTATTCATATGGATTTGTAATGGCTATTTAATATCTTATAAACTGTAAAAAAAAATTTAGACTCCTAAAAGTCTTTCTAAACGTAATCATAAATTCTGATAAAATTATCAAGCATTTTCAGATATAACACACACAAGACATCTCCTACCATAAAAGCCACATTTTCTCACCTCTTGCTGTGTGGAGGAACGTGGAAGTTTAATATGCTGAGCATTTACACCAACTTCAGCAGCAGACTTTAGCTTTTGGCCAATATAAACATTGGAGTCATCTCTATCCCCAACCTGATATAATAAAGTATATTTTTTAAACCCTGTTATGTTAATACCTAAATATAGAATATACCATTACAAGGTAAAGCAGACAATTGCTAGCCTGAAAGACTTGATTTTGGATACTAAACTCAAGAACAAAGGATGTCAATAAGTGCTTCCAGCTCTAGGGGGTACCTAACTTTATGTTAGGGAATGTAAAGGTGGCTGGACATAGAACTGACCAAACAATTCCTTCATTTGGTGACATAACACAAATATCTGAACTCTATTTCATCTACCCTACAGACTCAAAAGGATTATTTAAACTGAAGTAAAAAAAAACAAATTACATATCAATAATTTTGATTGATTTCTTGATATTTTTAAAACAAAATTTAAATGTATTTTAACTCCATCTTTTAACCTGTAAATATAATCTGTAAATTACTAATTTAGTGCTTATACCTGTACAATAGCAAGCCCTGGTTTGAAGTCTGGATATTTTTCTTGCAGCTCTAAAATCTCATTCTTCAACTGTGTCTTTATGTCACTGTCAAGGCATAAACACATAGCTTTATAAAAGTAATGTTGACAATGTTCTAAAATGGAGTATAAAAAGTCTACATTAAGTATGGCCTTATACCACACCTTTATTATACTTGCAATCAGAATTGTCTAACAGCTTTCTGTGGGTTATTCATGACCTACATCTAAATTTTAAATTAGGTGATTTTATTTTCATACATATTCATTAACAGGTCCCCCATTTAAAAGTAAGAATGGTAGGCTAGGACACATTCAATGTTTTTGTTCTAATCCCAGATATCAGATGTCAACAGCATTAATTACAAATTAACCTTACCACAATACAGTATGGCTGCACAATTAAGATATAGGCTAGAAGAAGATAATTAGTTTGAATAACCAAGCAAATGTTTTAATAAGTCATAAGCATCATTAGCTTTAATTGAGCATTGGATTGTAGAGACTACATATAAAGAAAAAACCCACAGAATTTTTTTAATTTATTAGATGTATGGGGGGGGGGGGGGGGGAGGAGGGGGAAGAGAGAGAAAAAGAAGAGTATGTGCATCTTCAAGGTTTGTGTTATAGCTAGAAGCTACAGGAATATAAAGCTGATAAACTTCAGGGTTCTTTTTACTTTTTATTACAATATAATTGGGGCAGCATAGATATAGCCATAATCAGCAGCTTCCAGCACAACAGCACAACAGGCAATCATTTATTTAGTCTTGGGCATCAGAGGAGGAGAGGTTTTTTAAGGACAGGCACCACGGATAAAATTTTTTTTTTTATTTAACACATTTCTGGTTGTTTAATAAGCTCATATAATTATAGTTGTTAAACTATAGACAAAAATAATATATAGCCCTCAATAGCAGTACTGGTTGCCATGGAAACCGCGAAAAGGTGTGAAAACTAACACCTTTTCAAATCGCTAAGGCTTTGTTCCCATAAGAGATTTTAAAAAGCGGATGAAAGATTTAGATTTCTCAAACCAAACTATACATTTCTACGTTTACTCATTGCGATAGCTTGTACTCAATTTTTAATACAAATTTTTACGTAAATGTATGTGCAAAAATTAGGGGGTGGTGTTACATAAATATCAATATTTCCTAAAGTATTGTAGCAAACTTAATGTACAAACGTAGTTTTGTAGATGGTATCATGCTGAATGCACGTGGAATGTTTTATTCTTGTATGACAAAGGGTTCCAAAGCCTTAGCGATTTGAATGTTGAATTTTGAGTAAAAATGCAAAGTTGAGAAAACGTGAAAAGAAGAGCTGGAAAAGGCACGGCGCGTTTTCTCTTATAGAAAACAGAAAAAAACGTCTTGTTATATGTGGAAGAACCATTTGTCTAATAAAATACGCTTTGATTTATGTTGTAAGTTTTAGACAGAATTTTTCTATGTAAGCAGAAAATATGTATACAACAGGTAATGAATGTATGACTATTAAGTATTACACATCCTATCAATCGAGCGGTATTCTCAGAACAGCTATTTTCAAACCAGATCAAGTTTTGTTTGTTAGCCGGTCTTTTCACTTCAAAACAATGTCTTTCTCTACTCAAATTGTAGCTTACACAAGTTTATTGCCTTATGATAATAGCCTACAACACAACACTGGGTACAACGCTTGAGGCTAGACACGCCCCCTCCACCCCACCCCACCGCTGGATAGTGCGTGAAGAACCGATGAGCCATAGATTACCAATGTTCATTCAACCGCGAATAACACATCTGTGTAGATAGGGTCAAGTACAGGGCCTAAGTGAATGCTTCTCAGCTATCCTATCTAGTATTTACATTCATTGCTACTACACCCTATACGGAGAGATGGGCATACACATTAACACATGTGTCGTATACAGTCCGGTGTAAAGCCTGATGAACGCGTTCAAGCCTATCACAGCATGCCGTAACTAGATTATAAACCGGCCGTTGGTTGAATGGCGAGAAGGGAATGAAGGGGGTAAAGGGGATGGACAGTACATTCTTCAAACTGATAGTCATGTCCATGACGCATTGTTTCAGCTTAGTATAAAGCGTACGAAACAGTGTTTAATATTGTTCCAGTGATAATCAACAGTGCATTTTTAGGCCACGTTTCAATTACTAAACTTAATGTTGTTGTATAACTTTAAAACAACAAATAGAAGAGTATACGCAAATGAGGTAAACAAACGAGACAGGCGATTGTTTTGTTTATCTAGAAACAAGATGGCTGCCTAGCACACGTGGTTAGTTGCAGCCTATCGTGAATTATTTTGATTTACTGTACTATAATATGATTGGTCAAGCGTATCAATGAATCTCTTCCCCTTCATAATTTTTACGCGCATGCCCTTATATGGAGTTTGATATAAAATTTTACTTTGTAGAAAACAACTTCTATCTCACTTATTTTTAGAACAAAAGAAAAGGTCACTACACCAGCGGGTACACGAGTGCTTGGCCCTTAGATTGCTGTAAAGTTTATGGTGCCCCGCGGGCCATAAATACATGTAATACCCGCTCGAAGATAGCCGCTGTCCGCGTAGTAGTGTGAAAACTTGTCGGGGGGTACCATGTTTCACATCGCAATAAACGGATAACCGTAAGCTGTAGAAGTCCGAGATGTTCGGGTTAGAGAGATAAAAGGTATTAGTATCGAATTAAGAAATAAAAATTTTGGGGAGCACAATTAAAATTTTATCGAAAACATGGGTATCTTGTTCCCTTAAAGTGACTTGGATGACGCCTTTTGCATTTTAAATGGTAGAGCTAAATTTGAACAGTTATTTTATTTTAAGACTTTTTGTGAATTGTAATAAAAATTGATCAATATACTCATTCTCTATTGTCGACCAAAATCAGTTATCATAATGGTGTCAAGGAAGTTGATGTTTTAGAAAAAGAAATTACTTTTGGAAATATAGCTGAACTTTTTAAACTGCTATAACATCATACGAGTAATTTATAATATCATAAATAAAAATGGTAGCTACCATTTTATTACAGATTCGCCTACCACCCAATATCATCAACAGGGTTGGTACTATAGGCCTACCATGTTCGCGGTCGCGTTAATGCAATATACATTATACAACCAATTTAACTGAGTCCCATAGTGTGGTTTATGTCACCCAATGCAACACCTTTTAAGTTGGACGAGTGGGCAAATGACTGTCTGACAGGGTCAAACATTGCCTACGATCAATAAAAAATGAAGACAGTCATCCTGTGGCTTACCATTTTAATAAGAATGAACATGTTATTAATACTTTTTTTGTGACTGCTGTCCATTTTAGCCATAATTTAATTTTAAAACCTGCTTGAACACTTGTCTTTAACTTGACACTACCCTTTTAATTACTAGATTTTCTAGATCTAATTAATAACATTAGGCCTAATTTTTTTTAAAATAGTTATTTTCAATAATATTGACAGGAAGTTATTTTTAAGGCATGGCGTATGTGACCTGACCTGTTCAAATAAGAGACTGACAAAATCACTAATCTAGAAGTAGATTATTTGGCATTGGACTATAAAATTAAATATAATATTAATATTAGTTATTCAATTTTTATTGCATGCCTATTGATTGTCAACTATTGAATTGCTAACAGTTGAGTACAGTAACATGCAGCGTGACAACTTTAACAGTAACCGTAACGTAACTGTCGTAACACTACAATAATTCACTAAACACTAGATTTTCTAGATCTAGTCTAGATATAACTTAGTTAACTAGATTCTACTTTTACTGTGACTTTACTACTAGAATCTAGATCTACTAAGTTTGAACTTACTTGGATGCTTTAGTTCCACTTAATACCTGTGCCATTATATAACAAGTAGGCAAATCAGAACTAGATCTAGACTAGTAGTTTCAGTTGACAGTTTTAGTCTAGACTCTAGATTTAGATGGACAGATAACTGAGAACTTTGACTCGATAAATAAAACGCAAGTGGAAAAACTTATCAGCGTGAATCGTGCTAACAATAAAAGGGAACGAACTCTCGTGAAATTGATCGCGTGCTTTCAGAGTTATGACATTTTGAATAAACGTCGCAAAATGTATTTAATTATTTTTGTCTCCACAAATAGTTATCCATAAATGTAGACGCTCACGCTTTTTAAAAAAAAAAAAAAGATACTACCCCCAAATTGCATTTTTGGGAAACAGCAGCTTTATAAATATTAACAGCGTAAGGGGGGGGGGGGGGGCGCGGCTGTGTGCAATTTTTTTTCTAGATGGCCTACAGGTAGGCTACAGGATATGAATATACTGGCCCTTCTTTTTCACACACAACAGCAAATGCAGGATAAAACCAACAGGGTTGCTAATTTTTCTACATGCCTGGGCCTGAACATCCACAGAGGGAAAAGTAAAGTTCTCAAAGTCAATGCATCAAACAGCAACCCTATAACATTGGCAGAAGAAGCCCTAGAAGAAGTGAATAGATTCACCTACCTTGGAAGTATTGTTGATAAGCAGGGTGGGACAGAAGCAGACATAAAAATAAGGATGGGCAAGGCAAGAGCAGTCTTCAACAAACTAAAAAATGTTTGGGGTTCTGGAGATTTAACCCTTGGAATAAAAATCCGGATCTTCAACACACTAGTAAAACCTGTTTTACTCTATGGAGCTGAGACATGGAGAATAACTGCTATAAATAAGAAGAAAATACAATAATTTATAAATGCATGCCTCAGAAAGATCCTGCGAATTCGCTGGCCTAAAAGAAAACCAACAAAAATGATGTTCTATGGCAACGGACAAATCAAATGCCAGTTGAAGTAGAAATCCTCCAGAGAAAATGGAAATGGATTGGCCACACACTCAGGAAGCCTGTATCCAGCATAACAAGACAGGCCCTCACCTGGAATCCACAAGGCAGGAGGAGAGGCAGACCAAGAAAGACCTGGAGAGTTGACCTGGAAGAAGACACCAAGAAGATTGGATACATCTGGTGACAGTTGGAGAGACTAGCCCTGGACAGAGACGACTGGAAAGCTCTTGACCTTGTCAGCAGCCTATGTCCCAATAGGAACAACAGGCAAACCTAACCTAACAAGGTTGGCCTAGTCTTTACTCATAAGCCTAAGTCTATTTAGACTATCTAGGACTAGGCTAAAGGACTCTCTCTCTCTCTCATATATACATAAATATATATATATATATATATATATATATATATATATATATATATATATATATATATATACATACATATATATATATGGCCTACATTGGGATGCTTTTCTCACCTTTTTAAAAACTAGTGTTTTTGAATTGATAACCTCACATCATCGACCAGTGACTACAAAAACAATAGGAAAATTGAAAGGCATCCACTAAGTAGAAAAATGCTGATAGTGAATTTTGTCACATAGGCACAAATTAGCAGTTGGCCTGTATCCATGCTACTTACTGTGGTCACAGTAGTACTAATCTAGTGATTAGATAAACCTTAGTGACTGGGCTCATAGTGTTCGAGCTGGGCCCAAAATTACTACATGACCTTTAGCCGCTAATTTGGTTAAAGATGAGAGGTTGATACTAAGGGGGACAACAAGATCAACTTTAAAATACATAACTTGTACTGGTACACAATTAATATTTCAATAGTGCACCATCTTAATGAGATCAGAAGTACAAACAGATCAAAAGCCAAAGTCACACTGCAAAAGATAGGTTTGTAAAATAAAAATAGTCTTTCAGCAGGAATATATATGAAGTGTTAATAATAAAATAGTTTGTATGAATACATTTATTATATCACATATATTTCTTAAACAGTAAATTAATTTGCACATTATCTCTAATTTCAGTGTTTGTTTGCAAACACTCTTTCAAACTTCTTAAAATTTTTCTACCCCCCCCCCCCCCCCTGAGATTTGTTGAGTTAACCATTACCATAGCAGATATCATTGTCAAAGTTGTGTGAGAATGATATTTTTCTCTCCCCTTAACTTATATCAATTAAGAATTTCTTTTATTTGTCATTAATAATAAATAGTATTTAAAAATAACACTTATTTATATTAAACTTCTTAAACATCATAGAACAACTCTGTTAACCTTCATTTTATTCATCAGTAATATCTTAAAAACACAGCGATCACAATTAATCTCATGTAAACTTGAAGAACAATACAACCAATCTCATTCAAATTTGGACCATTGTCACATCAATCATAACAAGTCATAAAAGCATAAACCCCAAAAATCATCATTCCCTATCATTTTATTTCTATCCTCCTCATCTTACTAATGTACAGAACTTTCACTAACTGGTGCAGATGTCTTTACATCTCTGTCAGATGTCTTTGCATTTCTGTCTGGTAAAGTAGTTTTGCTTATGTCACATTCAGATGATTCAGGTGGTTTCTGTTTATTTCTGTGTAATATTATCAGCAAGGCGATGAGGATTAAAAATTGGAAGCTTTTCAAGCATATGTTCAAGCCATTGAAGAAAAGCCTAAACTTCTCCCTGTTATAGAGAACACAGTAGCTTTCATCTGATGACCACAGCTCACAAGTTTGATCCACCACTTTGCCAAATAACACCGTTGAAGGAATGGTACCTGCAGATACATTTATAAAAAATATTGCAGAAAATACATAACTAATTAATTTATTTTTAATTAACACATACGTATTTGAACAGAAAATGCAAGCAAATCAAAATTTTGGGTCGGTAAAGCTCATGGTTGCTAAACAGAGAAGTCCCAAGTTTGAATCCGAGTGTAGATGATGCTTGATGGTTAAAATGAAACAACTGCTACCTATAGTTGTTTTTTTAGGTGGACAAATACTATGAAAGCAAATCCAAAAAGAAAAGCAGGCTGACATCGGAGTCAACTGTCCATAACAGGTTGACATGTACTTGTGTTGGGGGAAAACCTCTCCAACATTACAATTTAAACAAAGAAGAAGAAATAAGACAAATCATAAACAGAATAATTTCACCATATAGTCAAACACATTTTTAATTAGCAGAGTACAACCACAACTTAACAGCTAATTAACACATCAGAAATCAAATTAGGCTAATGAAGACAGTAGCTTAATGAAAATAAAACAAGGTACAGATTTTTTTGTATAAAATTACACTGGGTGGTTATAGAATCTAGTCAAAGCTTGCAGTAAGTAAGGTATTTCCTTAAAAAAATTAATATTATTTTAGAATAAAATTATTTCACGAGATTAAATGTGATGTTGATACCAGAATAGTAAATTGTATGTTAGTTTATAGTGTGCAGAGTATGATGCTGGTACAGTCTAAGACTGTGATAAATTATGCATCTAGCATAATGTATTATTAATTTGTTTAGCTGACACAGTCAAACTCAACACTAAAATAGGTTAGGCTTATAATATAAATACTAACCTGTCTTAGTGCTTAAACATTTCCCTTCTATGAGTTACTAGCCGATTCCCCATTTACCAAAGTTAAAGTAGGATGTGCTGACTCTACCATCCCCTACCATACATTACTACCTGATTCCCCACTTACCAAACAGAGTGTAGGTAAAGTTGCCTGTCCCAATAGCTAAGGACTGGTCCCGTTGTTCAACTGACCTGAAAGCATATTTATACAATAGCAGACATTGTAAGTAGATAAACTATACTATATAAAGGATGTCTTTCTTGACTCCATACATGACCAAAACAAAGTAGGTCTGAGCCAAAAAAAAAAAAAAGAGCTATAGAGGCAACTCATTAACAATTTACCTCAATGAAAAGAAAGTAAATGAAAAAGTTCCATTACCTGGCAAGCATCATGCAACTTGGTACAAATCCAGCTGTACCAAAGAAAATCACGAAAAAGACGATACCCAGGTAAATAGTAAAAAAAGAACAGTCTAAAGCACACAAGCCTGGTATGGCCACACCTCCACTCATCTCTGTACAGTAGCTAAAATTCTGGGAACAGGAAAATCAAAAGCTGTAAAACATAATAAATGTCACTCAATGAGTGCCATAGAAAATATATAATTTAACTAAGAGAAGTATTTAAAAACCAAGAGGATTCATTTAATAAAACTATCAGAACTTAAATGTGAGTAAAGAAGACAATATACAAAACTCTTGCCTTGTTGGTGGCGTCCCTACACCCTGCCCAGCAAGGTGACAGGTAGTCTAAGCTGTTGTTGCCACACACTATAAAAGCTTTGTCACAGCCACACGCTTTACCTTTTAATCTGGAGCAACACAGGTAAACATGGCAACATGTTAACATGTCTTTTTGTACACAAAAATGGGGAGGGGGGGGGGAAAGAGAGAGAAAAACGCAGTTTATTTGCTTGTGTATAGATCAGTGTGGATTTTCAATTATTTTCCTTGGTACTTTGAAAAAAAGAATAGCATGCATTTTTTTGGTCTTAAGCATTGAAACCGTCCTTTTTGTTTGATAAACAAGACACTTTTAAAAATTAGTAATAAAATTGTATAGACCAAATGCAATTGCTTTCCTAATGTGTACCAAGGTGAATTGGGTGTATCAGTGTGCATGGTTGATTTGTTGAGGCTGCTAGAGTTTGGTCAAGGTATGGTCAGGATGTGTGGGTAGTCAGAGTGTAGGAACAGCCACAGTGTGGGTATGGCCAGGGTATGGGAACAGCCACAGTGTGGGTGTGGCCAAGTTGTGGGAACAGCCACAGTGTGGGTATGGCCAAGGTGTGGGAACAGCCACAGTGTGGGTATGGCCAAGGTATGGGAACAGCCACAGTGTGGGTATGGCCAAGGTATGGGAACAGCCACAGTGTGGGTGTGGCCAAGTTGTGGGAGCAGCCAGTGTGGGAATGGCCAAGGTGTGGGAACAGCCAGTGCGGGAACAGTCAAGGTGTGGGAACAGCCAGTGTGGGAACAGTTAGGGTGTGGGAACAGCCAGTGTGGGTATGGCCAAGGTGTGGGAACAGCCAGTGTGGGAACAGTCAAGGTGTGGGAACAGCCAGTGTGGGAACAGTTAGGGTGTGGGAACAGCCAGTGTGGGAACAGCCAGTGTGGGAACAGCCAGTGTGGGAACAGTCAAGGTGTGGGAACAGCCAGTGTGGGAACAGCCAGTGTGGGAACAGTCAAGGTGTGGGAACAGCCAGTGTGGGAACAGTTAGGGTGTGGGAACAGCCAGTGTGGGAACAGCCAGTGTGGGAACAGCCAGTGTGGGAACAGTCAAGGTGTGGGAACAGCCAGTGTGGGAACAGCCAGTGTGGGAACAGCCAGTGTGGGAACAGTCAGTGTGGGAACAGCCAGTGTGGGAACAGCCAGTGTGGGAACAGTCAAGGTGTGGGAACAGCCAGTGTGGGAACAGTTAGGGTGTGGGAACAGCCAGTGTGGGAACAGCCAGTGTGGGAACAGCCAGTGTGGGAACAGCCAGTGTGGGAACAGTCAAGGTGTGGGAACAGCCAGTGTGGGAACAGTTAGGGTGTGGGAACAGCCAGTGTGGGAACAGTTAGGGTGTGGGAACAGCCAGTGTGGGAACAGCCAGTGTGGGAACAGCCAGTGTGGGAACAGTCAAGGTGTGGGAACAGCCAGTGTGGGAACAGCCAGTGTGGGAACAGCCAGTGTGGGAACAGTCAGTGTGGGAACAGCCAGTGTGGGAACAGCCAGTGTGGGAACAGTCAAGGTGTGGGAACAGCCAGTGTGGGAACAGTTAGGGTGTGGGAACAGCCAGTGTGGGAACAGCCAGTGTGGGAACAGCCAGTGTGGGAACAGCCAGTGTGGGAACAGTCAAGGTGTGGGAACAGCCAGTGTGGGAACAGTTAGGGTGTGGGAACAGCCAGTGTGGGAACAGTCAAGGTGTGGGAACAGCCAGTGTGGGAACAGTTAGGGTGTGGGAACAGCCAGTGTGGGTATGGCCAAGGTGTGGGAACGGTCTGGGTGTGGGTATGGTCACCTCTTTCCACCACTCCATCCCCTCCCCCCAGCACTCACTTCTCTTTCAAGCCAATGATATCAGAGTTATCGCATCCATTGAAGGTGAGCACTGTGTTGAGAGCCAGCACAGAGATGCACATGAAGAACATGATGACAGAACAGCCCCAGGACTGAAGTTTTAACTTGGCTGTCAAAAAACCCCCAAAGAATGTGCCAATGACTATTGCAAAAAAGATTATTACACCTGCAGTGGGACAAAAATGAGTATTAATTTTCTTCTTTTCTTTTAGCCTGGTAGGAATTCACAACACTTAAGGAAAAAAATTATCTTTGCTATTATACCATTACTATAAACAATTACCTTAATTCATGCGTTATAAGATACATCTTGGGTTTTAAGGAGGAAAGTAAGAACAAGATATACAAACTTCCTAAACCAAATGAGAGGTTAAAATATTCAGCTAAATATACCACAGTAATGCGGTATTTTAGGAGATTTTCTACTACCTCCATTACCCCCTTGACTAGCTTTGGGAGACTCACAACATTAACATCAATTTCTTTATGCCTCATGGCCCTATATAAGACTAAGATTTCTATTTAGAGATGAAAAAGGGCGTCCTATGTTGCAAAAAATATGGTAAATGAAACTTATATTATGATTGTGCATGTTAAATGTTTTAATCTGTTTTTGTAATAATTTCTTAATTTTATTTAAGCCTACATACATTTTATTTTATACATTTTTAATGTGGCATTCTGCTATAATACACAAGGGAACAAACTGTCAGTCAAGCACACACACTCAAGCATTACAAAAGTAGCGCCCCTTGATATTCATACATGAGCAACTTACACCACTGTATACCAACATTAAGACTAACTCAACAACATTACAGTATCAATATAAGGAAACCTGCCCAGAGACAAGCTGACATCCTGTGATGTCTTATTGAACTGTGTCTCTATAAACTTCTGTGAGAACAGGAACCACCCAGTGGTGGCCAGGCCCTCTATGATGTCGCTAATCATTACCAAAACAAACAAAGGTTGATGTAGAATTCTCCACAGAGACTTCGGTAACTCTAAAAACAAAAGTAAAATTTTCTTTTAGCCATTGCCACTCATGGCCACCGTAAAGAAATATAACTTAGATCTACTAAGCATTAGATTTTTGATAACTAACCAAAAGTCAAAACATCCTCTACTTTTCTCACCGGAAAGTATCTTAGAAAAATATCAAAGCTATAAAAATTAAAGTTTTTAACCTACCTAAACAAGCTTGTATCCTGGTTCGTTTCGTTGTTTCAGTATTAGAATCAGAAGATTTTTTATTGATATTTCTCTTGACAACTTTTCCTCGTGGGAATAGCATAATAGGTATAGAGCATAAGCAGCTTGATACACCAACAATCACAAACCCCAGCCACCAAGCACCAACCCATCTTTGATCACGCTTAGACATGGTTGTGGCTGAAATATACAGAAATCACGTAGCAGCACTGTTTTAATATAATCTAATAAAACGTCAAAAGTCATAATTTTTTACAACAAATTTCTATCACTACAAGATAGATTAGATACAGTAAACATAATCCTAAATAATATTAAATATACATTCAATAGCATCAGTGTTTTAATTTGATGATGATGAAACTAACCTTAAAGTTTTAAAAATATAAATTTTGTTTATATATAGAGTAGAGATTTAAATTAAACTGACCTTTAACATTTATTCATGTTAATTTATTCTGAATGAGTACATGAATACTATTTGTGAAATTGATCAGTCAGTAAAAGCACATGAAACAGTTGAGTGATCTACCTTTAAGATCAACAGGAAGTGAACTGACGTATCCTCCAATCATGAGGGCAACAGCAGGACCAAACAGCATTACGGTGTACGAATTACCTTTAGAACAGATGTATTTTATTAAGAACATTGCTTATTCAAATTCATTTTAAAAGTGAAATATGCATTAACAAAATTGAAAAAAATTCCAAACTGAACCTCATCCTGTTTGTTTCTTACAAATTTACAACTAACATTTATTCTTTTTTATAACTAACCAAAATGTAATGGATAAAAAGTAAAATCAAGACATCCTCTACTTTACTAACACTGTTAAGTTCCATTACATTTGATTAATTGATTTTAAATAAACTACACTTTGAACAACAATCCATGTGATGGTGGAAGGGGAGAATGTGGACTGTTTTAAACCCATTTATAAAATGTTTCAATATTTACACCATTGTTCTAAATTTAAATTAAAAGGAATTTAAAGGAAATTTCTTCTGTCACAACTATCAGTACCATTCCATTTTGTTAAGTGTGTTATATAAAATCAAAAGGAAAACAAAACTTTAAAGCCTTGTGAATATTTTTAAAAACAAGAATTAGAAGCAAAACCTAGCAGTAAAGCAATATAAAACTACCACAGTGGAATAGCACACAAGTTGTGTTTCTGGAGCTCAGTCCATGAGGCCACCCACCTTTGATGGGTACCTGACACCTGACTCAAGCCTAGATAGTACAAGTTGTTGAGCAATGGGCTGACCACACTTTTATTTCATAAAAAGAAACAGACGGACTACCCTTTTGATCGTCAGTGCTAACGGATATTTTGATCATCAGTGCTAATGGATATTTTGATCATTAGTGCTAACAGATATTTTGATCATCAGTGCTAATGGATATTTTGATCATCAGTGCTAATGGATATTTTGATCATTAGTGCTAACAGATATTTTGATCATCAGTGCTAATGGATATTTTGATCATTAGTGCTAACGGATATTTTGATCATCAGTGCTAATGGATATTTTGATCATCGGTGCTAACTGATATTTTGATCATCAGTGCTAACGGATATTTTGATCATCAGTGCTAATGGATATTTTCATCATTGGTGCTAACTGATATTTTGATCATCAGAGCTAACTGATATTTTGATCATCAGTGCTAACAGATATTTTTATCATCAGTGCTAATGGATATTTTGATCATCAGTGCTAACAGATATTTTGATCAACAATGCTAAAGGATATTTTGATCATCAGTGCTAACGGATATTTTACTTTCCACCTTGCTAGACAGATCAACATATAAAGAAAACAGATGAATATAAATGAATATTTCAAAAAGAAAGCACTAGCTGAATATGTACATTGTTACCCAAATAAAATCCAAACTTGCTCTTGTCCTTAATGTTTGCCTCCACGTAATACGTCAACAGCGGAATCCTGTAGGACTTGAGAGCTCCCGTACAAAAGGCAGCACATATAAAGACCCAGAAGGCTAGGGGTAAGAAGGATGATTGGGGTGGACTGGTGGGGGTGGCAACATCCGACAGACACAAGTACTGGCGTAGTTTGTCTCTTTCTGTACTGTTACTGAGGGTTGATGCTGTAAATAGTCAATAGTTAAATAACACTGCTGATATCTTCAATAACTTAGTGTGTTTTAAAGTTAAAATGACAGTGGGGATGGGTTGGATTAACCTTTTTCAAACCAACAAACAACAATTGTTTCGATAGAAATCTCAGATGAAATAGATTATGTAGGCTAAAACAAACTTGTAAAATATCAACTGTCAATGAAGCATAAAGCAGCTGGAATGTCATGGACCCAACTTGGAGGAATCTCCTAAAACCGAGGTGTGGTTGCATCCTTATGTGCAACAAGGAGCCACAAGAATAATAATGATGTTAAAAGTAATTATTAATGAAGGTGAGGTTTTCTAAAACCATGTACAAAGCTGAATGTTTTTATAAAACAATATGCTACTATTGGCAATAATGTAACCACATATCTGCGAAGAAAAAATTAAATGAATTCAATACCAAAAAAGATGAGAAAATCAAGCAAAAAATGGGTAGTTGAAATGAATAAAATGTTTTGCTAAATAAATACACATTTGCTAATACTCTTGATTGACTTGAAAAAAATGTTAAATTTTTTAAACAAATTTGTTTTCCCAGTGGTTTGAAAAAAAAAATGAATGCTAGAGAATTGAGAAGAACACTGTTAACAAAATCATACCCTGCCAGACCTTTGGTTCCATGAACTTCCCAAACGACATGGCTGTGACTGAGAACCCAAAGAGGATCCCTGACATGGACAAGAAGCGTGGTATGTGGGTGTAGGTACCAAAGTGGCTGACAAACAGCACCACCACCAGATAGCCAATTTCATTGGAGCTCATTATCATACCTGGGGAAATTAAATGGATGAGTTTTACTTGAGGGAATACACCTGTGGGGCTGTCATGATATGTAGGTAATAGAGATTTGGAGGAAACGATTGTCAAATATAAATTTTATTCCTAAAAAAATTAACTTCACAGAATTAGAGAGGAGCTTGTTGGAACTTTCCAAATCTTTATTCTTATACTTTTCTTCTTGTAATGTAACGCCATTAGTAATGACATCTGTGTGTTTTATTTTAAGCAAGAAAAATAACCACATACCAATTTACAATTAGTTTAACCTTGTTTTCATTATAGACACAAGTAAAAAAAAAATTAAATTATAAATAAATGTAAAGGTTCAATTTGTAATGTGCTTATCAGCTCATAAAATTTAACTTACTATTTTTTAATCAAAATATATCATATTATAATTAACTAGACAGTTAAATTCAAAACTAATAGATTGTTTTTAAATTAAACAGTCGATTCAAAACCAAAAGAAAATCAAAACAAGAAAGATGATTTTTAAAAAGATAAACCAACGATCCAGAATGTTAAGTACACCTGTCTTGCTGCTAGAAATGCCCAAATGGCGTTCAATGGATGTGACCTGGGACACTGCCAATAGACTAAGTGAGTTCATCCACAGTCCAACCAAGCCATAGCATAAAACAAATACTGGGACCCCAGAAAATCCTAGTAGGAAAAAAACAATAGAGAACATGATTTTTAAGAAATAAAAAGTTATTAATAATACAATCTAAATAATGTGTGAAATTAAACAGGTCTACATATTTTTTCAAAATAACTTCTGCTAAAAATAATATATATATTTTTGAGAATAACATATTTTATAATGATTTCTAGTTTTTAATTTTGTTTAAAAAAAATGTTCACTAACTTTTGCAGCAACTAAGTTTACAAGGGCCAATCCCACACTGTCTTTCATCTGGTTCATTTGGCTCAGCTTTTGTATCATCAATTTGGTCTGCAGATTGGCTAAAATATGACAATTATAAATCCAATTTATATTCCTAGCACTTCATAAATAAACAATAATAAGCCTTTAAAATTTTTGCAGATCTACTACTTTGTATAGCCTATTGCTGAGATAAGTTGGTGGTAGGAGGGGTCTGAGTTTTGAAGCTAGCTCAATGATTTTTGTATTACTAAATGTAGCACTATGCATGGCCTAGCGGTAGAGTGCTAGACTGCCAAGCCCAAAAGTCTCGAGTATGAATCTGGGTTCAAGTCAGTGGAATGTCCCTGAGTCCACCCAACTCTGATCAGAGTTTCTTCCAGGCATTTTTTACCGCCCCCCCCCCCCCCCCGAACGGAATGAAATTTATATAATTTATATAGAAAATATATACTTTTAACAGTGTCCGCCCCCCCCCCCCCCCGAAGAAAGTTTACCGCCCCCCGAAAATTTCAAGTGCCCCCCCCCCCCCCCCCCCGGAGAAAAAAGTCTGGAAGAAACACTGACTCTGATGAAGGAAAGTAAAGGTGACTGGGCTCAGGAATGTCCTAAGTACTTGAGCTCATGTAAAATAACATTCATATTATTTCTGAATGTCAATAAAGTTTATACCCACCTTTGAAAAAGATCGAGATCTGTTTGTCCTCCAAAATGGTCTAAATTTTCATCGCTGAATCGTTCTAACTCAGTGAAAACTTGGGAGCATTCAATCTTTGTCATCTAAATTTTTAAAATGTCAGTAATGATTACAGAGTAGACCTACAAATTCACATTACAAATTCAGGGCTGTCAAAAAAATAATTATGTTTAAATTTTGCAATATAGAACGTATAAAGCTAAGTAAAGTGACAAAATCCAATACTAGATCTAGATATATATATTATATATCACACACCATAGAATCATAGATCTACTAAATGACTTAACATTTCATGACAAGCCAAATGCCTATTTATTTGGGAAGACCTTATCAATACTAATAACTAATTCATTATTTTGTGAACTATGTAACTTTCTCACTAATTTCTCACTGTTACTAGTCAGAGGTGTCTCGAGGCAGGGGTGGGTGGTGCGGACTGCACCAGGTGACACCATTTAGGGGGTGACACCAAGACAAAAATGAAAAATTTATAGACTAGAAGAAAATGGTTTTTGCAAAGGTGAATTAATGATTAATTAGAGTTTACAGTCTTCAGTGGGGGGTGACACCATATCCAATAATTTACTATAAAAACGATGCTTGATTTAACTTAATTAATAGGCAGATTAATATAATGTGTGCACAAATTCAAGCCATTAGGAAAATTGGGAAGGGGGTGACACAATTGCAACACAATATGTACGCGTATATGTATATTATATATATATATTATATATATATATATATATATATATATATATATATATATATATATATATATATATATATATATATATATATATTAATTGATACTTTTGTTGTTGTGGGGTGGGGTGGGGGTGGTGACACCATTAGGTGCCACATCGGGTGACACAAGACCTAGCGACACCACTGTTACTAAGTAGATCTATAAATCTATGCTATAGCACCCCATGCGGATCATCTCAACGACAGAATCGTTGAGCCTCTCTCCGACTGTGTCGCTGAGAATAAAACCCTTTGGTGGTTTCTCAGTCAACACTGTCGTTGAAAATAAAACAACAATTAAACATGCTCTCCACAATTAGGAAAGCATAAACTGTAGGTGTTTTGACGCTAATATTCCAGCCATTTTGTTTTGACGAGAGCTAGTCCAGATCTAGACTAGATCTACTTGATCAACGATTTACACTGATGTAAAACCTACGTAAATCAAATCTACAAGATCAGGATTTACATTTAGATCTAGAAATCTACATTATTGACTAACTAGAGAGAAAAAGTTAAAAGTATGCCTAGTGCGTCGAAAGTAAAGTAAATGATAGAATCTAGATCTAGAAAATCTAGTAATTTTTCAGTAGCACTAGTCTAGATTGACTAGATAGAAAGATAATTATTTCTGTGGCATACTGTCCTTTAGGATCTACTCAATTTTAAATCTCTTCTATTTCAAATTGTTTGTAGATCTATATCTACAAGATTAGGCTTAGGTCTAAAAATATACTAAAGTTAAAGCTACACAAGTACACATCATTCCTAAACTTAATGCCATTAATGGCTAAAATTCACTGAGCATTGTTGCACTTAAGACTTAAACGTAAGGCCTAAATACTAAATAAAATTATTACGTTAGCTTAATTTTCGTGACAGCTTTTCTCTTCTTTTTTGCCATGCTTAATTTAAGTCACTTTCGTGTGCTGGTAGCTTAAAATAAAACTTGTTTAGGAAGTTTATTTCTTTCCCCCGTTTCATAATGCTGCAAATATGAGTAATACGCTTATTATTATAATTAAATAGCTGCGATAAATAATCATTTGCATCTTTTTGGGGGTATTTCTTTTACATGAACTGTGAAATACGGTATCTCAAATTTTGCGCGTAACTCAAAGCGAAATATTACTCGCTCAACTGCTCGTATTTAAAAAATCTGGTATGTCGAGGCACTAGAATGTTGAGGTACCACAGGATCTACTATGTATTGAAAGAAAACATAAATTAATTATAGAATAATAGGCAAATATAGTAATAAAGTATAGCTTTAGATTTTATTCAGCCTACTAATAAATAATTAAATAGGCCTAAAGTAGTACTAGATATTAGTTAAATCACTAGTATTGTGTAGGGTTATTTTTATTAAAAAAACAGATCACATCTTATACATTAAGGCGGGCTCAATAAAATAAAAATAATTTATTTAGGACCTAGGCCTATCTTTTGGAGATCTAAAATTCTAAATGAAAAATAAATTATTAATTAGACCAACAATAGGCATAGTATGCTAAATCTATTTTAGTATTTAAATTTAAGGCTCGGCCATCTACTAAAAATTTTATAAATGTCATAAAATGGCCTACTTAATTATAATTACTAATTACTATTAGGCCTAAGTTTAAACTAGAGATAGCCTATTTTATTAGTAGAAAAAGTATTAGCCATAGTTAAGATGGTATAGCCTTATGTAAATTAATGTAATCAGTGTTAGATATTATGATATCGATCAAGCATTTATTATATAATATCGGAAAGGGGCCTAGCACTCTCTTAGTCATTAGTCTATTAGGTCTTACAAGTAGTTTAGCCTATTTATATATTATATAGGCTGTTATTTAAATTAGGCCAAAGGCTTATTAGGAAAAGGCTTAATAGGCTTTAGTTTTTAATTAGGCAACAAGGCAGAGGCTTAATGTTGCTTATAGATTTAATTTGAAATGATTATGATATACGCTACTCTGCGACTATCACTATAGACTGCTATAGAGTATATTATAGCCTAGACCTATCTAAATAAAATAATTCAACTCACTTAGCTTACTATAATTTTTAAAAATGTTTAGTTAAGTATTCAGCTCTCTATGTCACCTAAGGCCCATAATTGTAATTATCCTACTGTTAGATCTATTAATTATTTAATAATTAGTAGGCCTAATTATAGGAATTAGGTCTGATACATTTAGTCCTATACATTGGTCGTAGAGTAATACTATTGGGCTAGTAATTATATACAATATCTATACAAGCCTACTTATCGTTAATTTGGAAGTCTTTGCATTGACCTTAGTTTTCAGATGTAGCAGCCTAATTTTTATCAGATTATACCATAAAATTAAAAGTAGACTTGTAGATCTTTTTAAAACAAGGCATGAAATATTAATTTAAATAATATAAATTAAACAAATAGCCTAAATAACAACTACACAAAGTTAAAGTCATAATAACTTTTTATAAAGGTATCTTGAATTTCAACTGGAGGTAGTTTTGATAAATATTAGTATTCTGAACATTAAAATAGGTAGACTTAACATAAATTTGTTCTGAAAACATATTTAGAAATTGGTTTTAAAAAATGAGGTTAGGATTGGGGTGATAACTAGTTGAGGATTAGATATGATATTCATTGTGTTTATCAATGTTGTAATTTCTCTTTTACAGGTTCATCCAAAAAAGGGAAGATCTGATTTTTACCAGTAATAAGACTACAGCATACTAAATGACACAAGATGTTCTTTCTCTATTACCTCTTACATTTGACATAAAAGTAGGAAAAGGTATGACAATTATTAATAAGCTGCTTTAAATTTTATAATTTGTTTTTTTATAACTTAATTGTACCATTTTTATTTCCAATAATGATAAATATAATTTAGTGTCATTTATATTTTAAAATATTTATATTATACTAGATATAATTTACTTCTATAATATTACTATCCAGGTTTAACAGTCTATGCCTACAACATAGATCTCCAGGACTAAAAGTGCACAAAATGGCAATCAGTATATCACAAGTGTTATAACACATGCATCTAATCTGCTTCAGTGGCGAGAACTGGGTGAATCCTCTCAAACATTAATCAGGTAAGTTATCACAAGTTTGCTTTGGTTTATTTTGAACATGTTGATTGAGATAGATTTTTATTTGTATAAATATTGTATTTAAAAAATATTTTACCTAGTAAAACCAAGTCAGTGGTGATGATTGATACAATATCATTATGTATTTTTTTAAATATTTGTTTTGCAAAATATGCTGATTTGCAGGAAGGATATATATATATATATATATATATATATATATATATATATATATATATATATATATATATATATATATATATATATATATATATATATATATATATATATATATATATATATATATATATATATATATATATATATATATAACATTATCATTTAGTGGTTTGTCTTACAAATTTGTATTATTTACTTAATCTGTCTTAACTGCTCAACAGGAACTAGGCATACCTAATGAGCGTCAAGCTGATACAGTAGATGTACATAAGAATTTTTACACAAGGTAAATATTGATAAATTTTAAGTTTTCTTTTTTTAAGGATACATGTAGTGTTTTGGGAGAAAGGAATTAAATTATTTAAATTAGGCCTAATAGTTTATTTCTCTAGCATATGTTTCACTTAAAATAACTTAAATTTTTCCCCCTTTATCACTAAAGCAAAATTTTATAGATATCTATGCCATGATTCATCTCATTCAATCACTTTTTTCTTGTTTTGTTTTGATGTATTAAACTAATTTAAACTAAAGATTTATTTTTTTTGCTAATTTTATTATTTCAGATGGATGATTAAGAAAATCATTTTGTTTTGTTTCAGGAATTGAAAAGTGATGTAAAAGGCAACTAATACTTCCATCTACCATAGTTAAACAAGAATCTGAAAATGGTGATAATTGCAATAATCTTGATATATTAATGTTTGGCTTTATAATTATATGCAATTGTAGGTTTCATAAATAAATTATTTCTCAAAATTTGATGTATTTGGTTTTCTTACTTAGTACATAAGATGCAAGTGATTGAAAGCTAAAGGGTTGTATGTAGTTATAGTATTCCCAGCACAAGTTGACATTAAAACAGCTGAAGCCCTTTAAAAAAAAAGAACAAAAAAAAATAAAATAATTTAGGAATGCTGTTTCTATTAGCTGAGCATATATTTGGAAAAGAACTTAATTGTTTACCAGAGAATACTGTGACCCAGTTTGTACTCCAGGCAAAAAGTGTCTATGGTTAATATTATTAAGTTAAAGAAAAGTATCAAACAAACAGGATAATATTAATAAT